ATGTTATGAAGAGGACAAATAGTAAAAAAAAATAAATAAATCTGAAAGGATCATGTAGACTGGGTTCATTCGAACATTTCAAGACCAGAATGACGAGGAACGCAGCAGCAGTTACAGAGAGAGGGACCACAATATTCCAATGTAAGTCAATGGGAGCCAGAATCAGGAGGAGCCAGAAGTGCAGGCATATGAAAAAAGAAAAACACAACTCCGGGTATGTTTTTGATGAGGATGAAACCATGAAAATAGTGTATAATATGGGCCCTTGAAATGTAATACTAGGGGTGTACCAAGTCTCACGATCCGATATTGTCACGGTATGAACCTCACGGTACAATATTTATTGCGATATCATAGGAAAGCTCATGATATGGTGGGGATGCTCACGATTAAAGATGTAACAATATCCAAATCTCTCTGTACAATATTTTCAAAACATACATCTCATGGCATGATATTTATTGCGATATTTTGTGGAGGCTAAACAGCTAAAACTGTTAATCTATTACTTTTTCCACTTAAAATGCCTTGACAAGACTTAATCCAAAGAACTAAGACTTAAAAGTGTTTAGAACTGTTATTTCTTCTTGTAGTCTACACTGAAATGGAGCAAAGGATCATGGTCTGTGTAGTTTCTTCTGTCTTTTTTTTAGCTGTTGCTGCACCATAACTTTTCATTTAAGCAAAGAGACTTGTAATTCCATATATTGTGATGGTCCACGATATTACTGTGAGAATTCTGACAATACGATATCACAATATTTCAGTTATTGTTACATCCCTCTGTATTATGTCTATGAGGTAGTAAAGTTCTTTTCAAATGTTCATACAGTTGTTGCAGTAGATCTCTTTTTGGTATGATGCATAAAACTATTTCACTGCTACACTTGCTGGATATTGTGTAAGAATATATATGTGCTTTTTCTTTCTCCTCTGACAGGAGCACAACCTCCTTGTATGTGGTTGTAAATAGCGCGTGGTAGAGCAGGAGTTGAGGAGGAGCTGGGGGGAACATAGTAACACCATTAGAGTCAGTGTAAGAGGGTTATGTTCAGGGTGTTCTCACTGGGAGGAGAACGCAGACTCGCTGATTGCATCCGGGAATCTGGTCAGCAGCCAAAAAGAACGGAAATGGGGGAAATGCAATTCTGATGATGTAATTTGTCTTACACTTTATTATATTAGACGCTAACACTGACCTGTATTTGCGACAAGGTGGTTAACGGAGTTTGAGGAGGTGAGAAAACAGGTATATGACATGGTTTGTAAAGGGTTATTCTCACAGAGGTCCTCACATCAAGTTTAGCTCCATCAGTTCTGGCTCCAGTAGACCTTTTTCATAATGGCCGAAAGTGGTGCGATCTAGGGTAAATGTCACTTACATTAATGCTTTTTTCTGGCAAAATATCTGTGAAAATGTCTCGCGTATTTTCCACCAGCTTCATAAATCTGCCCCATCACCAAAACTTCGACGAAGGACATTTATCCAGAATTTATCCACAACTATCAAGGTAAGAAAGATGAAAACGTAAAGGCGAACAACAACAATGCATTAGTGAACAACTCCTCAGCAAAACTAATGTTATGGTCATGAATAAAACAGAAGTAATAAGTAATTCATTAATAAATAGCTTGTTAATTCAGGCTGATTCTACAATTAAAGTAAAAAATCTATTTCATGATGTAGATATTGGCATAGACAGAGAGATTTGCGCAGTTCGAATGCTATAGATGTTCATAGATTATAGATGTCTCACATTTAAACTGCACAAATCTCTCTGTCTATGCTAATATCTACACCACAAAATCGATTTGTAATTTTAATTATAGAATCAGTCTGAGTAAACAAGTTACTTCTGTTTTATTCATGACCATAATGTTAGTTTTGCTCAGGAGTAGTTCACTAATGCATTTTCGTTCTTCACCTTTATGTTTTTGTCTTTCTTACCTTCATAGATGTGGATATATTAAATCCGGCCGTTGTGTGAAAGGTCTATTGACTTTACAAAAATGGTCACCTCTCTCTTTGTAACTGCTGTAGGGAGCCTCGTCATTTTGTTGTAACTGCTAGCCTTGTGAACTTCATTTGACTGGAGCAAAACGTTCTGGGAGACGTCACACTCCCTTGGTCCACTTTTTATACAGTCTATTGTCGAGACAACAGAAATTTAACTCTTTAAGGTCATGTCTCATCTAAAATAATAATATGATATTTGTGTAGTAGCAAGCAAATTAAATAAAAACGTGTTTTTTTTCTCCAATACTAGCCAAAATAGCCAACTAAGTGAAGTGGAATATCAAAAACTGGCAATTACCCAGGCTTATTTGTAATTTTGGCAGGTGGTGCTATGAAGCCCAGTTTGTTATTCAGCTGATTAAATAAATGACTTGGGTAACATAACAACATGTCTTCTTTCTGAACAAAATGTTTTTAGCTACACATTACCTCATATGATTTTGTAACATCAAGATTGTATTTCCTCTCTCTGTTGTTATCAATACTTCAAATTAAACAGACAAAGAAACTAAAGTACATTTTTTGATCACTCGTCTCACCAATTTACATCTGCCATCCTTGAACCCCCAATAAGAGAAATTAATCAAAGAAAGTCCAACATTCTGTGCACAAGCATGGCAAGTGGCAAAATGAAGTTAATTCTCTCAAATAATGTGTCACCCTAATGGGACTTTGATCCTTGCCGAGCTTTTATCTGGGTGTAAAAACTCATTTTCACCTTCAGGAAGACTTCACTACATCACCAATGTGCAATAACATCACAGAGCCACATGTGGAGACCGGGACAGTTTGTCAAATTTTCTCCTGTCGACCTTGAAAACTTTCTTTTTAAAGGGCCCATTACACTGTTTTTGAACTCTAACAGAAAACACTCTGTTCCACCTGATGTCATGTGGTAACACAAGAAATGATTTACTGTGTTTTTAAACTCCATACACTTTTACTAGAATAATTTGGATGATTTCAACTCTGGAACTGACCATCTCTAGTGAATTAAATGTAAAAGGTAACTGATGTTCTCTCATCTATCTTATTGTATCACCTCATGGTCGCAGGCCTCCTCAACCATATTGAGACTGCTCTGTTCATTTTATAAACTGGCTCCTAAGATCATTGACAAAAAGCCCAGACATTGGTACCACTGTGAAATTTTAAAGAAACATAGCCTTTTTAACTTTGAAACTTTTACCAATTTTAATAATCTTAAATTCCCTTTTAAGTGTCTTAACTGTGATATACCGCTATATCCTGAATTTGCCAGAACCATAAAATGTACACGCAGAGCCAATACAAGTTCCAATGTACAGGACGACTCTTGATCAGTGTTTTTCTCTTCTAAAGGGGCCAGACTGTGGAACTGTTTACCAGCTGATTTAAAACTGCAAACCAACAACAACAAATTTAAACGTAAATTAAAATGATTGTATGTTTCCATGCAAAAAAGTACTCACTGAAAATGTACTGTATATATTTTATCTGTATGTAAATTATGTGTTTTGCATTGTCTGGTTTTATGCATGTAGTTTGTATTTTGTATATGGACAGGTGTTGAAAAGTCACACTTGTGCTAAAACACTCAAAGCAATGCATCTGGCTTGTTTAATGCGATTGTGATGTCCTTAATAAAAAAAAAATAAATAAATAAATTGAAAACTATCACATGAGGTGGAGTAGAACATCTTGAGCTTTGGAGATGTAGACAGACTAATAATAAAGGATTACTCAAACATGTGAATGAAATAAAACACAACTCCAGTTATGTTTTTGAGGAGGTAACAGCATTACAACATGGCTCATAACATGGCTAAAGCTCACAAGAGTCAGTTTTATGTATAGTACCCAGCATAGGTCCACCAAACAAAGACATTATAGCACGAGGAGGTTTGCATGCTTCATAAATGATACAGAGGACACTTAAAGATTGCAAACAGCATAGGAGGCAGAACACTAAAAGAAATCCGCAGCACATTTGCCCCAGTGCCCCTTTAAATGGTGGATGATCTAGTGCTATATAGATGTCCTTTGGCCCCAAACTCATCAGCTTGTTCCCCAAGAGAGCTGCATGGAGCTATAGGGAAGAGGTCCAAGACAGAATTATACCAACACACCCAGCTAACAACCAGCAAACAGCAAGATGGCCAACCGGGAGATCCTCAGTAACACAAGTCTTACAACTTCCTAGTTTATTTGGGGTGATTTGTAGTCATGCTGCTTGGACAGATCGCAAGAGGAAACCATGAAGAAAAAATGAAGACTGGGTGACTGGGGAGTGACAGGGGTTGTATAGTAGTAGAATAGGCAACAGTCTATATGTTGAATAGCAAACTAGTATTGGCTTTTACTGCAGTTTGTGCTTGAATTGCTGATAAACAACATTTCAAGTGCCTCTGAGGAGTATTGTGTGGCTGCAGAACAGGGTGCATGGTGATTAATTTTATTAAAACCACTGAGTTTCCTATGAATAGCCTAAATGTATTTATCCACATTCAGAAATACAATTGCTGCAATGAATTTCTATGATATGAATAATAAATTACATGTGTTTTAACAAAATGAGACACACACATATTGTCAAAGAAAAATCCGCAGTAGTTTTTCTTTCTTTCTTTTTTGTTTGATGGTTTAACAGGTATAAGTAGGCCTACTCAATTTCAGAAAGCTCAGGTTGCAAGCAAAAGGAGGCTATTATGATACTGTTTTCACCGACACCATTAAAAATGCAGTAGGCTATATGTTTTACGATTTTCCGATTGTAGAGAAAGCAATTTAAACTTATATGATATCATGCTAAAAAGGAAATTAGGCAAGCAAATATAAAGGTTCATGTCTTTCTAAAGTCCTGTAAATAGATCTAAGTGTAATAAGTCATTGTGCAGGTGGATGCTGTGGACGCAGGCTGGAGGCGCGGATAAAAATGACATCATTGAGGTTCAATGACGGGACGTAAACACTAGAGGGCGCTTCGCATGAACATCTGTTGGTGATGTAGACTGACGTACACGGAAGTAGCTGTGTGGCTAGTACAGATGCTAGTCATATGAGGATTCATTTAATAGAATAGAATAATAAGATTTAATAGTTACGATGGTACGACAGCAGCAGCTCAATTCATTATCCGTGAAAACATTATTGTGACCAGCAACAAGAAAATAACATCAGGTAAGTCGCTGATCATCTTTTATCGCTATGTTTTGGTTATCGTTGTGCTGCGAGTGAGCTAGTGGATTGTGATAGTGGTTATTATTAAAAGTCTTTCTAGTCTTGTTTCAGTGATATGGATAAAAACAAATGTTTAATGTTTGCTGTGCGTAGACTGTCAGTTATTCCTGATTATAGTTTTTATATGGAACAATGCAGTTTTCAAAGCTGCCATTAGTGTCACAATAACTAGTCAGCTGATTGGCATCATGATAGTAGTGACAAACTTAACTTAAAACAGTTGCAAATGATTTCTCTAACTTTCCTTCATTACTAGCTCACGTGTTCCATTTATGACAAATATCATTGTGCATTTTTGTTAAGCAAAAGGTAGATGACAGTTGAAGAAGGAAAAAGAAGTCTGACTTGTGCAATCTAGCACCAGCACTTTATTTACATACTTTATTTGAGGTTGTCAGTATTTGATGATATCACATTTTGCTAAGTGAATAGGCTTTATTCTTAGAGATCAGTTTATTAATATATTGTATAACTCACAACCCATAACAGCATGTCAGTGTTATAATGTTGGTTTCAAGGTTCTGAAACTGCATAGCAGAGCATAATACCACTCTTATCTACCCAATTTTCCTGTACAATTCAATAACAAATAGAGCTTTACTTATTCAAAGTAAATTATTTTATAAAGCAGCAATAGTAAAATCACTGCTGTCTTTTTTTGTAGGATCTAAATACAATCTTTCTTTGAAGAACTCATTTACTCCTCCACACACTCCAATGTCATCTGGTTGCCCGCCCCAGTCTCCTGCTGTGGCAAAGACTGAGGTCTCCGTAGATGGGGAATGCCCTCTGCTTGCTGCCACTTTCGCCTACTGGGACAACATCCTGGGGCCCCGCGTACGCCACATATGGGCACCCAAGGGCAACCAAGTCATGTACCTTAGCGATGGAGAGGTGACTTTTCTAGCTAATCACACTCTGAATGGGGAGATCCTGCGCAGTGCTGAATGCGGAGCTGTGGATGTGAAGTTCTTTGTCCTGGCGGAGAAGGGCGTCATCATAGTGTCACTAATCTTTGATGGTGAACTAAAAGGAGACAAGAACACATGTGCCTTGTCCATCATCCTGCCTCAGACTGAGCTGGCCTTCTACCTGCCGCTGCATGCCATCTGTGTGGAGAGGCTCAAACACGTGATACGCCGGGGTCGCATTTGGATGCAAAAGGTAAACCTTTGTAAATCTCGCTGTATCAGTATTTTGTAAAAATGTAATCTTTATTTTGTCCTTGTTTTTTACTCTGAACCATGAGTGCAATAAAGAATCTTATTTATCTATTATCACCAGGTATTATTCTTATTTATCTTAGTCTATCTAAGTCTAAATTAATTTGAAACTTTGTTAAAAATGTGCACATTCAACTCATACATAGCTGAATTTGTTAATTGATTAAAAAAAATAAAAAATACTAATAGTAATTGCTAACCTCATTAACCCCTGTGATCTTTTAGAAAACACTTCCTTATGTACTGCTGGTGCCCCTGTTGTCTCTATAAATATATTTTTATATTAAAAAATACTGTATAACATTTTAACATTGTTTTGGTTAGAAATCTACAAAAACAATGTTTTTTGGTTAGAAATCGATAGCCTTAACTACATTCAAATATAAATTAATAAATGGTCAATTTTCCATATATTTTGCATGAGCTAAAATGTTTTTAAGATGTTTATTGGGGACTAAAGTTTGGTAACAACATGAATTGTTAACATTTTTGTTTAGGAGCAGTGTTTAGTTTGCAATGGGCACTGTCAATCCCAATAAAATAATTAATCGACTAAGACACCATCAGCTGATTAATCGCCTACATGACTACGTGTCCAGCCCTAGAGATGACGTCATCCCTTTTAACTTAATTACTGTTATCATCTTGGCTTTACTCATTAAGCATTATAGCAACATTGGCAGAATAATAAAGTTGCAGTCCCTCAGCACAGAGGGGCAACCCGACTAATTAGCTCCAAATGATCCAACCGAGGAAACTAGTGTGCATGTAATAATGTAATAATAAAAGCAGTCAAAATGAAATGGCCGCATGTGGAGGAGACTTGCAGCCTTTTAAGATGGAGAGGGTCAGGTCAGCTCAGGTTGACAGCCCATCTCTCTGTCCTCATTGTTTCAGTATCACATCTGTTTTGTTTTACCTTGTGTGACAGCTCATTCGGCTTTCAAACTCTTTCCCTTGACGCAATTAATATTTTACGAGTTCTCAAAGTTTTATTTTTAGGTCCTGTGTGGTTTTGATATGATATGAACCTTGAGGTTTTGTAGCAGTCAGGTAAACCCAACTATATTCTTTTAAAGATTAATAAAAAGGTTGTGGCTGTGAGTTAATCTTCAAACCCGGCGTTATTGATATTGAAACATAGTATTAATATAGCACAAAAATATCTTATTTATGATTGTTCTGCTTTCAGGGTTACAACATCATATCAGTGCTAGGCTTGGAAATCATCCCAATCATGGAGCTTCTGGCATCCATGAAGACACACAGTGTCCCAGATGACATCGATGTGAGTAGAGGGAAAGACTTTTAGCACTACTGTCTCTTTGCACTATATCAGACATATCCTTGTATATAGTCCATATACAGGCACACATCAATAAATTACAATCCCAATTTAACCCCAAGACCCAATGATTGCCACTTTACTACTTACTGTATTTTATTTATTTTTTTGTCTTAACACAAAAATACTTTTAGGTAGGATTCTAAGATGATGCTTTTATTTACTCGACTGACAATACTACTTTAAATGCTTGTATAAGATTTCAGAAACTGACAATACTTTCTGTAATTTGGTACATTTCATTATTATTATTTAAAGATGCATCATGTAACTTTCCCATGTCTAGTACCTGCTTGTGTCCATGGAGATGTGATTGTTTTCCCTGTTTCCTGTTCCGATGCTTTTTTTTTTTTTCCAACAAATTTTTGACAAATAAATAGTCTTCTATAATTCAATTCAAGCTATATACAGGTAATGCTATACTTGGAAACGGGAAAAACACATCTCCTTGGAGAAAGGAAGATTTCAGAACTATCTCCAGAAAAGTTGCGTAGTCCTATATATAATCCCAATATAATCACAACTTTGATAAATGCACTAGAAACTAAAATTTTTTTTTGTGTATTGTGAGTTGACATAACACTATACTACTGCACACATTTACACAAATTTGCAAACAAGCATATTATTATCCCAAAGAGTTTTAATATAATTGAGATTAATAATACATTTCCTCCCTGGCTGTTGTGCAGATTAAAGACACAGTTCTTAATGACGACGACATTGGGGACAGCTGCCATGAGGATTTCCTGCACAAGTGAGTGCCGCAGTACAGGCAAATGGAGACAGATGATGAACACTGCCCATTTAACACCTATCAGGCCTGCAATGATAAATAATGGCTTTCCACTTAGCCGACTTTCCCCTGGAGAAAAGGGTGAAATCGCTTAGCGCCGAGAGCCTGTGAAAAGTACATTTTGACAATAAAGTGCCTAATCGCTCAAAGCAGCACGGGGAGCCTCAATGTCCTATGAAGATGACAAAGCATGTGTTAATCCCTGCCCACTCACCTGTGTCATAAGGATAAAAAGTGGACAAAAGTTTGGCAATGTCTTTTCATGGTTTAATCAAAATCGGATTAGCCTACAGTACTTTGCCCTGGAGTGTATTTTATATTCAAAGAAATAATTAATCCTTTTGTAAATGCATTATTCTGGCAACGCCTCTGACCTGACGATTAACCTTAAAATCTGTCATTAGAAATGTCTTCCTAATAGACTCTTATTTGCAATTCTTGTCTTTATTTGTGTGTATCAGGGCCATCAGCTCTCATCTCCAGACATGTGGCTGCTCAATAGTAGTTGGGAGTAATCCAGACAAAGTAAATAAGGTAATTTTCATAATTGAGAGACAACTTCTTTTTGCAAATAAGCACTTAAATAATATAGTACAGTGCATATGATGTAAGCATTTAATTTCTAGCACAAAAGGGCTCCTTACTCAATGAGCTGGCTCCATGAATGTAACCTTAATTTTGTTGTATTTACATTAGTATTTTAACAAAAATTGAAAAGGAGACATTGTACTTTCTGTTTGTGCAGATTGTCAGAACGCTGTGCCTCTTCCTGACCCCCTCTGAGAGGAAATGTTCGCGCCTCTGCAAGGCTGACTCCTCGTTCAAATATGACACTGGCCTGTTTGTTCAAGGTCTGCTGAAGGTAGCTTAGATTTTATTAGACAGAAGGGACTCCAGATTTCAACAATATAATTCTCTTTTACGTGTTTTTGCTATTTCTTAGTATTTCAATTTTTACCATCTTGCAAAAAAGTGTGGACACCAGATTCTGTGTTGGCGTTTCAAGTTCTGTCATGTTTTAACTGAACAACACACAAGTACACACAAGTAGTGATTATGCTTTTGCCTTTTTCCCTCCAGGACTCCACAGGCAGCTTTGTTTTGCCTTTCCGCCAGGTGCTGTACTCTCCATATCCCACTACACACATTGACGTTGACATCAACACGGTAAAGCAGATGCCACCGTGCCATGAACACACATATAACCAGCGGCGCTACATGCGCTCAGAGCTCAGTGCCCTGTGGAGGACCGACTGTGAGGACGATATACCCCCTGATACTGTGATCCACACTGATGAGACCTTCACACCTGACCTGTGAGCACCAGGCTGAATCAGTGTTATTTTAATGTGCCTCTGTGTCCTTTATGGATATATATATAACCATTGTGTTTTCTGCTTTTAGAAATATATTTCAAGATGTCATGCACAAAGACACTTTGGTGAAGTCATTCATTGATGAGGTTAGTATGCAGCAATTCTGTTAAAGCTACCATATGTTGCATGATGAGGAAAATGAGTAAGGAATTACATTATCATCTGAAGGAAGGAAAAGTGTAAATGTGATAGTGATAATAAACACTCAGTGGTAATGAGAGTTATCCAATTATCCAATGGGGTTTTAAGACTATAATGTTGCATTTGGGTTGAATATGTACTAGTGCATATTTGTTTCTTTTTATGTTAAAAAGATGCATATTATTTATGATATTCTTAGTCAGAGCAGATACTAAGGTTTCAAATGTTAATTCAGGTAGATTATGGGAGAATACGTTTCAAAAGTAGTTATCTACACTGTGGTAAGTTTCAGGGTAAACTCCTCCCTTTCAGGCAGTATACATTTTTGCTCATTTCAGATTGATAGTTCTGTTCCAAATGGTTAGCCGAAACGTTTTAATTTCAGAAACATTGTCCAGATGACTACCATGGCTTTTAAACTTTTTCTATCATGGTCCACGCCTGAACAAATGAGGAGTTACATCAACAAGTCTCTGTAAAAGACTGAATCAAGGCTTACTTCATCACCCTGATTAGTGCATTGCTAATGAGCCTTATGTATTGGCTACTAAATACCATTTAACCTTCCAAATAACTGATGTAATCCAGAGCCAACACGACTCATTCTCATGGGTCACTTGGCGTCATCTGTTTCCATGGCCATTTGCCCTCTGATGCTCTTTCAGGTTTTCTGTCGTGACTAGAGCAATATGTTCCCTGCTCAAGGTTAGCACAGCAGTGGGGGAAATCTGTTCTGTTCACTGTATATTGCCCGTGTCGCTTCCTGCCGTGCCGTATCCAAGACGACTAACTGACGTCCTGTGTCACGCCCAGGTGTTCATGCTGAAGCCAGGCCTGTCCCTGCGGAGCACCTATCTGGCCCAGTTCCTGCTGCTGCTCCACAGGAAAGCCCTCACGCTGCTCAAGTACATCGAGGACGAAACGTAAGAACTGCCACTAACAACTCTTAAGCACTCCTCATAAAACACTATGCTGCAGCCTCACACTGGGACTGGGGGATATAACAACTCAAAAATCCTCATATTGATCAATCACAATTTTCAATTTGTTTTTGTATTATAAAAAGAAATCAAATTGCTTTCAATATTAATTTTCTGATGCAGGCTTCCTTCAAACTCTGATGCTCCAAACCAGATGCTTTTGTTGACAGAGGATTGGCTGTAGGCCTTTCAATTAAAAAGTTTATCATTGAAGATTAGAAATGGATCTCGATTAAAATTAAATTAAATGCCCCACACCGTTTCCAACCCCCACACTCTGCTTTACAAAAAGAATGCTTGAAAGTCAAAACACCTAAGCTGATGATGCCTTCTGTTCCCTTGATTGTTTATGACTTTGTAGTGTTGTTGTAGTATGACCTCGCCTTGAAAGGGACGTCGCTGCTGGTCACTCTGTAGGACACAAGGCAGCCGAGCTTTGTTGTTGATTCGCTGCACAAAGCGCTACTCAACACAGGGCATGTCTGTGTTTTTCTGTGTTTAGTAATGTAATCCCTAGGGATTTGCTACACCGGGGGCCAGGGTACAATCAGCTCAGAGGGGCAAACTCCAAACATTGCAATAAACAGGGGCTGACAATTGTGGGTTCAGTTGGAAAACAACCGTGGACAAAAACATATGTGAAATGCTGTGGAATACCCTTGTGTCGAATCATTCACAGGCCAAAACAAAAACATGTTTTGGATGCGGCATTGTTATATCCAATGGAAAATAGCGACCTATAGGCAGGCCTCTCTAACTGTTTCCAAGACAGTGGCTAAATGAAGATGAACAGCAGTGCACTATGGGACAGCAGGGATTCAGGCCAGAACATGCATGTAAAGCTCCAAGAGGGAGCAGGTTGAAGAATGGCATGCTTAAGTTCAAAACAAGATTGCCTCTATGCAGCAAAATAATCTCTATGAAATTATTAATCATCAGAATATGCCAAACTCCAAATATATAAAAATACAGTACACATAATTTTACATAATTTTCAAGATAATTGATTTGTACCAAATAATGTGAGTGAATTTTCAGAAACTCCAAAAACCTCACTTGTGCCCAAATCTGTCCTCTCCGCCCTGGCCGTACGGTGACCTGCTCTTTCATCCATCTGGGACACACTCTGTCCATTCTGTGATTCCAAACAATGAACTGACCTTCCCACTTTTTTTTTGAGATACTAGTTATTGTATTAATAAATTATTTTTAAAATGTGTTTTACATTGAAATTTGGGGTATTGATTGGCCGTATATTTTTTGCTAAAGGAAGACTGTAAATTAAGATTTGAAATGCATATTAAAACAACAACAACAAAAACAAGATGAAAAACATTGTATTACCTTTTTATGACCCGGTATTTTTTGGGGTTATTTAACATTTAAGTAAGCAACACAAATATATGAATTGCATTTAACTGTTTTAAAAGTAGAATAACACCATATGTTTTATATTCAAGACTCATATCTCACCAGCTGCTCTGGAAAATGTGATCATAGGCATTCTCCCTCACTAGCAAAGCCATATTGTGTGAGCATCTTCTTTTCAAAATATCACATAAGTAGACTACTTTTTATGTTTCTTACAGCGTGAGGTGTAAGGGCAAGCTTCTTTACAGGTGCCCCATCTAGGTTGTTTATGCTCTGTGGCTGTCTCTTGGAAGCATACATAATTCATTTTAGTATGGCATCTTTGTACACAGCTGCAACCAAACAAGATTCAAATGTAAAATTCTCTGACCCTTTGTACTGTGTTACAAGTTTCTCTTCCTTCTTTTCACAGGCAAAAAGGGAAGAAGCCATTCCGGTCTTTGCGTAATCTCAAAACTGACTTGGACCTAACTGTTGAAGGCGACTTGAACATTGTTATGGCTTTGGCTGAGAAGTTAAGAGCAGGACTCCACTCGTTTGTTTTTGGGAAGCCATTTTACACAAGCATGCAAGAAAGAGATGCACTAACGAGCTTTTGACACACGTTGGATGGTACATGTTTTTGCTTGTTCTTATTTTGTTTTAAAGCATGCACATTGCTCCGTTGTCGAAGCAAATACATATTATGATTGGCCTTTTATGTCTTCAAGCATGCATGATTATAATGTTACTGCTAATACGAGCCAAATGATTTTATGTTGCCATGTCCTGCTGTTATAGAATTTTTTTGTTTTAGAAAAATAATAACTTATTTTGAGCTCAAGTTTAAATTATTTTTGTGCCTATGAATGTGTTATTTATGTTGAAAGCATGTGTTATTATACAGTGCATTATAAAGTTTGCCAAATAAACGTTTTTAGCTGCCTTTACAACACAAACATTTCATCTGGCCTTAACATTATTTACATATAGCACCACTTAACCTTACAACACATGAAAACAAAAAGAAAGTTGTTTCTATCCTACTCATCACCGTCATGGTTGAATAGTGTTTTTGTCTGTAGTTGACAGCGATTGTCATCATTATGTATTTGCCCAGCTGTGTGTAAAATTGATTTGCTCTGATTCTGGCCCCTCCTCAGAGCTACAGCTCTGCTATTTGCAGTTCAGCTTAACCAGCCACACAGCAAACATTCTACTGCGTTGTATTTCCAGCATGTTCAATTGTGGTGGGAGTATTGATTATGAAGAATGAAAATGGTGTTGTCATTCCAATGTGCCAAAATCAATTTTCACTGTCTTCACAATAAAAGGTTTCATGTTTTAAATATTTTGGTACAAGAATGTTTCTAATCTGTCAGAAGTTAAATAAACAATGTAGAGTTCTTCTGCATGCATCATAAAGTTTGAATCAGGGTGAAGTTTGGCTCATGACCTTTCCAACAGCATTGGCTTCATCTATATTAATAATATCCAGCGAAATACTTGCCTCTAATGTATAACCGAAATCCGTCTGGGGCGAAATGCTGCTGACAAGAAGGAGCTAACTGAGTGTCCCCTAAACAGGTATGAACAGAATGAACAGACATATTTAAAACGTTACTCATCAGTGCTTAAGAGAAACTCAATAAAATCACCACTGAAACTACAATGGATTTATTAATTAGTGTTAAATACCTATTAAAACAAACAAACGTTACATATTTACATATTTTTATTTTTTATTTTATTTTTTTATACCATGTATAACACAGTATCTTCCTTATTTGCATACCAAATTTGTGAGGCAAGGGTGTAATGACACTACTACGAAAACATTAAGACTTATTGGTCGAGAGCCGTGTCAATCATTAAGGCATCAGCTGTTGTTCACGCCTCTCTACGTTGATTGGCCAGTTTCTAAAGTAGAACGTTTGCTATTGGTTCATTTTGTTGGCTGTTCGCATCAGAGCCGGAAGAGATGTCAGCTGGCCTTCTTCCAAGTAAATATTGAACAGAGGATGCTAGCAGCTCCAATGTCTCATATGACAAAAGGACTACTCCTGCGAAATCGGAGGAAAAATGAAACCACATGCTGTGTCAAAAAGAATAAGGTAATTTACAGTATTTGGCGAAAGTGTTTACACAAGTGGATTAAAGAGAAGTTACAGGGTGCGGCCTGCTGTCATTAGCTCGCTAGCACTCTCTGCTAATAGTATGATATGTAGCGCTTATCTTAATAACTACTGCACTACATAACCTGTACGTTTCACACGAAGCAGCCTGGTAATGTGTAGAATAAGCCGATATTATCCTCATACACTAACAAATAGCATTTACTCGTGGTACTTCGAAGCCGCATTATTGTGGTGGTGAGGACATTTCTTGAGACAGGGGATTAACCAGCTGAATAATAGTGTTTCTGGTAGTGTGTTGGCATTGTATCTGTTGTTTGTTTCATTTTAGGTGACTGTTCATCGATTTACTTGTAAATAAATTGCCATTACTGTGATACTGCTATACTATAACCCTTAAATCAATCCATAACGCCACACATCATGCCCGGTGTGCCTGTCTCCCAGGCTAAACGCAGTTTGAGTAATACAAGTGTTATAATGTGTTTCAAGGTAGTTTCTGTTTTGTTGTTTGCTAATGATTGCAAAACACAGTGCATAATTCTAATAACTGCATTGCATTTTTGTTAGTATGCAATTTGCATGCTCTCATATTATAACTGAGGTTTAATATTCATGATTTTTCCATAATTATTCCATAATTCTTTTGTGAATATGTTACACCTTTAGGCTTATTTACCTTACATTTCTGCTGATACCTTAGGCTATATGTAGAGAACTTGCTTTTCAACTTTATGTGAGAATGAATCACACTTGGCAGATTATATTGCTGTTGAAGAAACATACTTGATTCTTATCAGTTTTGCTCATAATAGTTATGAAAGCAACAAACCAAGGTGAGGACCAAGAGTTGAAATAAACGGCTCACATACTTAGAGCTGTCAGAGAGCGCTCATGTTTGTGTACTGTACATGCACTCATTTTTCAAATTTTTTCTTAGTCTTAATCTGGTAGCATTTTAAGGAGATTGAAATAGGATTTCAGTTTCTGTTCATTGTTTTTTGAGCGTGACTTTAAGGTGTGGGTGGACAGCACCTGCTCCTGCTGCTTATATACAATGTAATCCCTTTATAGTGTCATATAATGTATTTTCACAAAAATCTATTTTCACATACATAACATAATTTATGTTCATATCTGTCCTTTACTATGTGATATTTGATTAAATTGCAAATTTTCAGATGTTACACTGAAAGTCCATAGCCATGGATGGGAACAACACATTTCCCAGCTTTGTGGATTTAGATAATTTTCTTACAAAACACAACTCCAACTTCATCTGGCTCCTCGTGGGTGAGTTCCCCAAAGCTTCAGTCTGATAGAACCATGTCTTGCTCATATGTGTGTGTATGTATGTATGTATGTGTGTATGTAACACTGTTTTAATTTACAGCCACTATTCTATCCTGTGGATGGATTATTTATTTAACTTATTACAACTCCCGCAACATTGGCCTCATCCTCACCCTGATCATCAACAGACTTTACAAAGATGGCTACATTCATATTGGTACGTACAGAGAGTTTTGTTGGACAGCACTGTCAAGCAGTCAAAGGCATGAAGTTGTTAATTTTTTATGTTGTGTCATTTAGTACATGGAGGAGTATAAAAAGCAGTATAAATGTGCTATTAATGTGTCTTTATGAATGTGTGGGGAAAAATGCTTTTATGTGGAATAAGATTCCTTTACACTGGCTTTACACTGCTGCGTGATACTGGACACCTTGATCTACTGGCCTTTTAACAGAAAAGGAAGTGTTAGAGTAATGGCTCCAGCAGCATTAAAGTTTAAAATGTCAGACAGAGGTATAGTTAACACTACAAAGTGAGCAGTGCCCCGAGTGCCAGTCTATTTATTTTTAAACATGTAATGCATTATGTCTATATGTTTTATAGTACAATATTACATGTTACAAAGGTAACGTTGCTTACAATTAACAATGCTTTAAAAACTTCAGCACATTATTATTTATTTAGTCCTTTGCCTGGAATATTTGTATCAATCTTTTGGCATTTAAACTGAAATTAATAAAAATGTTGGCCTTGCACAACGAGGTTGAGAGGCAAGTGAATGCAGAAGTTTGGTAGAAAAGGAGACACATTCTCAAAAATGTGTAAAACTTAATAGCTGGGTTATAAATAATGTGGTGTTTTATCTATAAATAATTTTATAAATTTCTTCTTTTTATCAATCTGCTCCCCAGGCTCCTTCTCCTTCTCTGTGCTGTCAGGGAAAGTCATGTTCAGAGATGTCTACTTCATCAACCCAGATATGTCAATCAGGTACTACAATTAAGCAAGCTACAGTTGTTTTTTTTTTGTTTTTTTTCCTAGATCAATTTTCAGCATGATTTGAATTTACCCACTTTGTTCAATAGGATACAAGATGGCTTCCTTATATTCAGATGGTGGAAAGTGTACAATCCAAAACAGAAACAACACGGTAAGTTATTTTAGGCTTTGTTGTGCTTTAAAAAAAAAAAAAGTAAAAAAAAATAAATAAATCTTACCTTACTTAAAAGGAAAGTGAAACCCATGTTAAGAATACATGTTAGGGGAAAAGATAAAAAACAAAGCCCGACTTAATGTTTTTTTTTTATAATTTGTGCATATTTTCCCAGATCCCAAAGCAGAAACCAGGCTCTATGTGACAGTAAATGGCTTTGAATTTCATGTCTACAACCGAACTGACCTTTACGCACGGCTGCAGAAGACCTTTGGCCTGGAACCGACTCTAATTCCACCCAAAAAAGATGAAGACCAGGAACAGGAAGACACCCTCGAAAGGTAAGATTCTGCTGTGTTTCTCAAACTGTGGTATGTGAACCACTGATGGCACACAGGCTGCCACTCTGCAGGGTTCTTTTGTTCTTTTTGTTTTATTCAGAAACAAATATATGAATGTTTTTGGGATAGTCATCATTTAGAATTAGACATTGTTTAGTATAAATTCAGATGTGGTGTAGTCTCGTTTTAGACCATATTTGGCCTGACAAACTTGATAGTTTTGATAAGCCAAATATTTAGTTATGTGGTACTCAGTGCAAAAAGTGTGTAGTTTGCTGTAACAGGAAGTTCTTTTATTTTTCTGTTCTATTCAAAATGCTAGAAAAGCTTTTTGGTTTTGTTTTGCTTAAAATAGTATTTGTTTATTTTTATATGGTACATATGGTGTGCATCTACCTCAAACAACCTAAATGTAGGTATGCTGTTGAAATACAGCATGTAAGACTTAAAGTTGTTGTTCTTTCATAGTGTGAACATCAAAGCGGAGACTCCAGACCCTTCGTCATCCTGGCGCTCCCTCATCCCTGTCATCAAAGTCAACATCAGCACAGTAAGGCCAAATCTAGCACCATGATATGCGCAATCACTAGTTATTATAAAAACATTAAAGCAAAATTTTAAAATATGCATTCTTTTGTTTTAGGGACATTTGGCTTTTGGGAATCACCACCTCCCCCAGACACTCTGTGTATATTTTGAAGATGCCTTTTTGACCTATGCCACTAAACCTCCCTCTAGCCACCTTGATCAGTTCATGCACATCGTTAAAGGCTCACTGGAGAATGTCCGGGTCATGTTGGTTCCTAGCCCACGCTACCTGGGCCTGCAGAATGATGAGTAAGGCCACAGCCTATCAAACTTGTTTTTATTTTTTATTTTAGTAGTTCCTTAAATTTAGTTCACTAGTATATGAAATAAATTAAATATTTAACTATTATTTATAATTTTGTAAAATGATTTCCTCATCAGACCTCCAAGACTGATGGGTGAAGGCTTTGTGGTTATGCAATCCAATGATGTTGACATCTACTATTACCAAGATGAACCAGGTACACAACACACAGACATGGTTATGTGGTTTCTCTACATTTTCTCATTGTATTGTTTATAAAGTATTGTTTAAATGTGTGTTTGTGTGTCTTTGTTTTGCAGGCCTGGTCCCAGTGGAGCAAGAGGGTGAGGAGGAAGCAGAGACATCCAGTGAGGATGACAAACTTCAGGACCTGCCCCCATGCTGGGGTCTAGACATAGTGTGTGGCAAAGGCACTGACTTTAACTATGGCCCGTGGGCTGATCGCCAGAGGTGAGAGAGAAGCTTGTATCAATACTTTAACCTGAAATTCCGTATTCTTTAAATGCAGATGAATAAAAGTAACTCTTACACACAATAAAAAGCAAACATATCAGTAGAAGATGTTTTGCATTCATTTCAGGGACTGCCTGTGGAAGTTTTTCCTGCCTGCTGACTTCCAGGCCATGCAGGTGACAGAGGTGCCACAGCCTGGCAAACCTCGGCAGATCCAGGCCTTTGAGCTCCGCATGAACATCATTGCTGATGCCACCATCGATCTGCTCTTTACCAAAAACAGGGTGAATATCTCTCTCCATCTCTGCTTTACTTTAAGACAGCTCCTTTGATCTCTCTTCTCCTCTGGTCCCTTTGTGTTTATGTCTCGCCATGTTTGGCACTGACATTAGGGCGTTTTTATGCTTCTTTTCAAATACCAATGCCTCAACAGCTGAGGAATTCCACAAATGTTATTTGCATGTTAAGAAAAAAAAAATTAAATCATGCATTAAATTGTTTGTGTTCCATAACAGGCATTTTGTGTAAATCTATGTTAAGAGTTTGTTGTGTAATGTTTTTGTCTTCTTTCGTCTTTTTGTAAATTTTACTAATATTTTTTTCTAGGAAACCAATGCCATTCATGTGAACGTGGGAGCAGGCTCTTACCTGGAGGTCAATATACCGATGACTGTAGGAGAGATGGGTAAGCAGAAAATGTAGCTCATCTATTAATTAATTGATGCATAAATACATTGTTTATAGATATTCAACATGTGACAAGCTTGCAACCTTGTCATACAAGCTTTTCATACATTTGTTTTTCTCCACCAAAAATTTGTATACATGTTCTAATTTTTTCTTTTACCAGTCATACTAAATAATACAAATACTGCCAGTTTTGTATTATTACAAATTTTGTATTTTCATTTTTCTACTTTTAGGCTATTCTCCCACCATCAAAGGACAGTTACTTCATGTGGATGCCACCAGCAGCATGCAGTACAGGACTCTTCTTGAGGCTGAGATGCTTGCAGTAAGTAATATGTTCAACAATGTCACGCAAGAGAGACTTGCATAATGTATTCTGTCTCTTTAGTTTCATGTGATCGCCAGCTATCCTCGAGTGTGGAATATGCCTCAGACGTGGCAATGTGAGATTGAGGTTTACAAAGCCACATACCACTTCATTTATGCTCAGAAAAACTTCTTCACTGGTATTGATCCCATGGCACAAAATATGCTATACTATACTGACTATAATAAAAAGTGAATATAATTTCTAAAATAGATTTTCTATTTGTTTTTCACTGTTTTTAGACCTAATTAAGGACTGGGCCAGTGACAGTGCACCTGATATCTATTCCTTTGTGCCCTATTCTTGGACATTTAAAATTATATTTCACCAATTTGAGATGCTCTGGGCTGCAAATCAGCACAACTGGATTGATTGTTCAACCAAACAGCAAGAGAATGGTAAGGCACACCTGTTCTAATGTGGATTAAACATATGAAAGATATATGAGAAGTGTTGCTGGCGATTTATTATAATTACATATAAATCCTGTAAAATTAAACATTTTGCCCTGGATTTTTTTGTATAATGTTGATTTGAAGTATATTATGTGTGTTTTTCCACAGTGTACCTGGCTGCATGTGGAGAAACGCTCATTATTGATTTCACTCTGCCCTTCAATGAATTTGTTCCCACGACCTGCAATACTCGCTTCAGTTTGAAGGTTAGTCATAGCAAGTAAACAGATTTTGATGTGTTTTTGAACAATACACAAATGTGCAAATCCGCCTACAGAGGTGTCTAACTACGGTGTGTGGGTGCATTGTGATTTGTGTTTCTCAGGCGGAGGATACAGATATGCGCCTTTCTCTGCCAGAGTGTCACCCAAGTCGATATCCCCTCCTCACTTTGGCCAAAGATTACCAAAATGTGAAGTTGCCTACGGACATGTTTATGACAGGGGAGAGCCATGTACCGCCCCCTCCCAAACCCAGCAAGCCCCGCTGGAGGAACATCACCCACACCGAGTGAGTGTAGCATGTATTTCCATAGAAAAGCACATTCAGTTCATTCATTCAGTTCACTGCTTGGACTTGTGGACCAAAACTCTGATAAAAGATATCAGTGTTTCATGATTGTAAGCTAGCTGACTGGACAGCAAAAGAATGCTGGGGAAGTATCTTAACTGTAGAAATTGAAGAGATTTAGTGAAACCTCTTGGATTGTGCATGTAAATGTACTAACTATTACTAGCTATTGTTCCATTATTCAAATTAGTCTTAATATGACACAAGGTTTATTTTTCATTTGAAAAGTTTGTATTTATTTTGATAGAAATTTCAGTTTTGCAGAATGTTACCATTCTCGGAAGAGATGTTTGAAAGTCAGAGTTGGTGAGAAAGCACTCTCTGTACACACTGTACATGGCATCTCCACATCAAGTTCATCTATTATGAATAGCTCTGTGCTGAAACATGTACACTACTTATGTAGGATAGAAGAGTCCCTGTACCCCTGGGAGGTTACGATCAAATTCTGTCTGGGCTAGTGCACACTGGCACTGAGGTGAAATCAGGCGCAACCCATTTGCAGTCTTTTATCTCCACTCAATGTCCTTGTATTGAATGGTCCATAAAGCAAATGATGAAGTGGAAAATTCACTTAAAACCTCAGCAGACGGCCCTCTCACTGAACTGTTTTTTCTCCTTACAGAGCTGGCTGGGTGGACTGTTGGAGCGTACCCAACTTCTTACTCATCATTGACTATACCTGGCACCCTATTTATCCCCAGAAGGCTGATGAGCAACTCAAACAATCCTGTAAGCTCCTTTGCAACAGTATTGTGCTGTTTGTATCAGTGTAATGTTGAAACACACTAATCTGTTACAGTTTCTGAGATGGAGGAGTCCATGCTGTCAGCACTGAGACCCCCAGAGCACTCCTCTGGACCCAATACGTCACAGCCCCGCAACACCTCTGCCACTGCTTCAAACGCCTACAGCCGCATGCCCACAGACCCCTCAGAGCTGCCCCCTGATAGGCTACATGTGGAGATGGAAATGTCTCCTGACTCCCAAATCATTCTCTATGGCCCTCTACTCCGAGCACTGCTCGCCATTAAGGTACCATTATATTATATTACTTACTGTAGCAGTCACAAGAGTCCAGTGATTATTTAGTTCGTTTTTTAACACTCCTCCCCCACTGTTTTCACAGGAGAACTATTTTGGAGAGGATGACATGTACACAGACTTTGAGGAGGCAGTAACCAGCCCCGTGTTGTCCACAGCCACCTCCTCAGGCCTGGGCTGGTCCCCTCTGGGAATGGTGGATAGTGAGCAGAAAGACACAACCGACATCCATCCTCTGGACCTGCGGCCCTGGGACATCACAGTGCTCATTAACCTCTACAAAGTGCACGGTCGACTGCCAATAGTAAGACTGATGGGCCAAGAGGAAAATGCTATTTAATACCAAAAATATTTAACACTGATTGAAATTACATTTCAAAGTTCAAAGTCACATTGCCCTCCCTCTTTCAGCATTGCAGCAGCGAGGGCCCTGAAGGCCCATCAGGCTTCTTGGAACGGCTTTGTTTTGAGATGAAGAAGGGCTATAAGGAGACCATGCTACAGCTACTTCTGTCTCCCATTCACATCTTTGTCAGTGATAACTACCAGGTAATAAGCATTATGTTTCACATTTTTATCTTGACAATAACAAGTGAGCAAAATGTACTTACTTAATGTAAGTGATTTTGTACAACCATGGCCTTTAGCAAGTGACCATAATACAGCAGCAGTTATTCTGGGCCGGTTGCACTGTGAGAAAAGCCAGCGGTCAGGGTTGCATAATAGAAAACATGTAACCATATAGAATGTCTGTGTTCTAAGAATTCTGCCACTCTTTTATATTGTTTTGCTGAAAAATGTCTCCCAAAGCATACTCTTCGCTTCTCCAGAGTCACCTTCAATATGAACAAATGTATGGTGTTATGATTGTTTTAAATGTGTACCACTCTTTAATCCACAGAGGCCAACGGCAGATGGGGTGCTCAGAGACGGACACTTGAGTCTGTCAGGGATGCAGATGCGAGCACATGCCATGTTCTCTGCTCAGGGCCTACCTTTGGGCAGTGACACACTGGAGTACGCATGGCTCATTGACATGCAGGCAGGAGGCCTCACAGGCAGGATCTCTGTTCCACAGGTTATTGCTGCTTCAAACACTACATTTCAGGATCAGGATTTCTGTTGTTAAATCATCTTAACATGTTGATTTGCATAATAACTTTGTCACTAGCTGGCCAGTGTGGTAGAGTGGGGAGAAACTTTTATTTTCCATGTGATGTCTCGAGAATTCCAACTAGAGCAACCCAAACCCACAGTCATCTGCCAACATGGTGTAGACCGACGCATCTGTGACGCTAAGGTATAAACAGTCATGCACAATGTGCAAGACTGTCATTACTTAAGCTTAGAGTTTTTGCACTGTTTCATGTTTGCTACTGCTAATATGAGAAATGTTTCTGATGTGAAGCTAACTGTGCGTTTGAACCTGGCTTTAGAAGTTGCTCATTATAGCCAAAGGCATTTTTCACTTGGCTCAGTGTTGGTCCAACAGCAGATAATGAATGAAGACCCATGCAGACTCTCTCTAATGATCTGTTATGTTCAGATACAAAATAATTTCTATTCAGTTATTGACTTTTGTTTTATATAACATCAAACTTTTTAAACTATTTGACAGTTTAAACAATTCAAATTCTGTATTTGCTGGTGACTCTGTATAACTCCATGAGTCTATAATGTTATTCATGAAATACACTGCCTTATGCTGGTTTAGTTGACCTGTATGCCTGGGCACTGCCGCACATCAGAGGAGCTCAAGTACACCATGACCCGACTTGCAATGGATGGAATTGACCTCTTCATTGTTGAGCATGGATGTGCTGCCAACATTAAGGTATAGAGCAAAAACTAATGGGAATTTTATCTGCTTTTCAATTTGATATACCCAATATATATTTTTTATGGTTTGTTTTGTCTAGACTGGCATTGTTAGGGTGGCAAATTGCAACCTGCATAACCAGGCGGTTGGAGAGGGTATCAGTGCAGTGGTGCAGGATGTTAATATCCGGCTGTACATTGAACAGCAGCAGCAGTACTCTGAAGCCTCCAGACTGCAGCCTGCTGGTCAGAGCCAAGGTCCACCAGGTCTGGGTCAGCCCCCTCTGCTGCGACGCTCTGTTTGGCTGGAAGCGGGTTCAGTCAACTTGAACCTCATTACAGCAGACATCGCTCTGGCCGCTGACCACCCAGCCAAATGTGAAGTCCAGAGGCACTTTTTGGAACTACACGATACACAGACCAAAAGGTGGACATACATACTGTCATCAGTTATCTGCATCTCAGTGCGCTAAGTTGTCACATTGTGAGTGCATGTGAGGCTATAATGCCTCCATGCAACAGATTATGGCCTGTGCTCAGAGAGGCATGTTAACTCGCTTACTGAACTGACTGACAGCATGACATCGCATGGCTTTTTATCTCACATTGCCTCAGAGGCATGAAGTATTGCAGACTTTATTCAAATGTCCATTAAAAAAAATGATGTCAGTTAATTCTTCCTTTGGTTTTACTTTCCAGACTCTGGTTTCTGTGGCCAGAAGATGCTAGCGTTCGTAATAAGCGTGGCAGAAATCGCTGTGGCTGTCTTGGTGGCTGCCGGTTCTTTGGGGGGACCAACATGGGTCTGGACTTTTTCAGGCTTGAGGAGCTCACTCCCTCCTCCTCTTCTGCATTCTCCTCCTCCAGCACTGAGACAGACATGTCCTATGGACAGTCCCTCCTGCAACCTGCAGAGTGGATTATTACCAAGGAAACTCCCAAAGTGGATGGTATACTTTTTTTGAACAGATGTTCTTTCTTGTTATTTCAAGAATATAGCCCTAATATAATTTGTTTCTTAGGGAGGGTTGTAGGACTAAAGACAGAGACACACTCTCCTTGCATCCCTCCTGAAGTGCCAGAGAGAAGATGTCAACAACACCTGAATCTGCAGGTGCCTCAGCGCTCCCACAGCTCTGCATCCTCTTCAGAAGAGAACAGCTCCTCTAGTGCTGCACTGCCCCTTTTGGCTGGAGAAAGAGACACCCCCTCTCCCAGCATAGAGGAACGCATGTTTACCATTAACAACAAAAGCCCGGCTGAGTGAGTTGTACAGCTTTGTCAAATGGTCTTTTAAAGACATTATTATGTAATATACATTAAACTAAACGTCATTATTCTGCACAGGACTCTTGGAGAAGTACCAGAGGTCTCACCCGTGTCTCCCAGTAACTCTCAGGACCGCTCCTCTGTGCGCTCTCCTCTGTGTTCCCCTCAAGCGACAGTCGTCGGTGCATTCAGGGCGCCTGGGCAGCACAAAGAGCCTCTCAGCTGCTGTCTTCACAGACAAACCTCCTGTGGTTCTGGCTGGAGGTGTCCAGTTCAACAGTGAAGTGTCCCGCAGTGATGAGAATGTTCTGGATTCGCCTCGTCAGCGGAGGAGTTATGGCTCCTTTCCTTTCACACCATCAGCTGACTCTAACACCTTCCATCAGTATCGTTCTGCAGACTCCAGCATGTCTGTGGCTGACAGTGAAGCGTACTTCTCCGCTGCAGAGGACTTTGAACCAATCAGCAGCGCAGACGAGGGTCCGGGCACTTACCCCGGACGTAAGAAGAAGAGGAGGCAGCCTCAACCCCCACCACCATACTACATGGAGAGCTACAGGTCAGCAGCACAGCTCTAAGTTTTGTGGCATATTTTTTTGTTAGTGAAATCGTAAAAACATGCCAGTGCAAATTGTATAGCTTTATTGGTTTCTACATGTTGCTAATATGATGATACCAATATGTCCTCAGTCACAAACATTTTTCATCCTCTTTACCCTTACATTTTTTAACCTTAACCTAACCATTTGAGTACTATCTTTTAGATATATATATATATATATATATTTTATAACAACTTGAGAAACAGAAACACACAAGATTCAGAAATATCCACTGCTGACTGCAGCTCTGTGGGGGTTATGTTGTGAATTTTTTTCATAAAACAAAGCAGAATCAATGAGGAGAAATGGATTGGTGTGATGATTTCATATAACACATTTTGCAATTCATTGTACAAACCATCTTGGCCCTGAGCCAGACACGTTGAGGCTTTCATTTATTAGATTGATTCAATCATGGAGGCTGGCTATGATGTAAATGGCTTGTACCAAATGAGATGTTTGATCCATGAGAAGGCACTTGCTGAAGTGTTGTGCAAATTGGATTTTGGTGTTGCTCTGTAACTACCTTGTCATTTTTCTATTACTTTAAATGTTGTTATTGATCTCTCCATATTTTTTGATTGATATGGCCTTCAAATGAATGGAAATAATATGCTCAGGCTCACGTAGGAAGCAAAATTCATTCAAAACTATTGCAGTAGTAACAGTAGTAAATTCTAAAATCATAATTTTAAAATGATAAAATAACTATAACTGGTAAAGCTTTTAACCATAGTGACTGGACTGTAATTTCTCTTTTTTGCAGTCGAACGTCCATATACCACAGTGTGGAAGGGCCCCTCACCTATGTTCTCAATGGGGAGCTGATCACTGAGCCACGCCCTCTGCCCTTACCTCCAACACTGCCTCCCCTGCCCCCTCATCCCCTCCCGAGTCACATGTCCCAGGCCTCTTTTGTCTCTGCTTTGGCCATGGAGGAGGAGAGCTCTGTGGAAGCTGAGAAGACCGCTGAGACTGGCCCTGTCACTCGCCAACCCCATGTCATGGCATGTTACCAAAGCTACCTCGCCCAGTACCAGGTAAAACTCTATCTTCCACTGAAGAAGACACGCACTTCAACAAGTCTATTACTGTATTTGAGCTGTGCTTTTGTGCCTGTTTGTGCAGGTGTCTAATTGGTCTGTCAAGCAGCCGACAAACAAGAGAACATCTAAATCTTCACTCCATCGTCCCCTAGACCTGGATACACCCACCAGTGAAGAAAGTTCTGGATCTTTTGACCAGCTCTCGGTCCCTTGTTTTAAGGTATACTGCACATGTTAATTCATTTATAATGTGGAAGTCAATTATATCTATATATCTGTATAGATATAGATATAGATATAGATAGAAGAATACACTTTTTGAGTAATAAGGTTTTAATTTGAATGATTTCAGATCATTAAGCAGGGTCTTTCCGCCAGCTCACTGTTAGACAGAGGAGTTCAACTGATGGGAGATAACAACAGGTATTTAATCAATCTGTTCTTTCTATGTATTTCTATGCATGCTTTTTTGTGCTACTTTTATAGAATTTATTTTTTTGTAGTACACCATATACTCCTCTGGATAAGCGGGCCATGGAGAATACAGATGAGGACACAATGACTGATGACTGGACTCTGGAACAGCCTCTGGCCCAGACCAGGACCACTGCCATCGTGGAGGTGAAAGGAGCCATCAATGTGGTGCTCACACCTCTTGTGGCAGAGTCTCTGGACAGGTAGCACTCATTTTATATGTTCAAGTTAATTTTGAATTGTATTCTGACATTTTTAAACATATGTACTTAGAATATGATTGTACTGTTGCCTTTTAGGTACATTGAGGCCATGGTTCATTTTGCCAGTATCCGACACCCTGCAGCGATACTAGATGACCTGCATGGCAAAGTTTTAAATGAGGCCTATCAAATAAGCAAGTCCACTGTCACAGAATCTGTAAGTACACTTTAGTCAACAATCATACTGCTATAAATGCTTCTTGTAACTCTATATGAAACAGACATCAAATATAAGATGAAGTTATTATACTCAAACTTCAGTTAGCTTTCACTAATCAAGTAAATTAAAAGTGAAGTTGAATGAAACTCACTGTTTTCCAATCTGTTTCACCTCTCAGAGCCAAACTGGGAAGCAGGAGCATAAGCTGTCCAAGAGCGAGGCCGTGAACCCTAGCTCCCTGAGCGTTCCCCAAGGCCAGACAGACCTGTCAGTCAAACCAGATAATGTGAAAATCAAGGGCCTTCAGGCCAATGTCTCCATCCCCAAGGTATGACCTTTGACCCAGACTAATGAAAGACTATAAAGGTTGCACAAAATGTGATCTGAAGCAGAATGCTTCAAGTGGAATCATTTTTATGCTTTAAATATGCTTTTTAACAGTCTTTTACTATGTACATTCTTGAAGCATCATATTAAAAAAAAATATATACATGTTAATTTGAATTTAGATTTTAGATTTTTTTTCACAAGTATTTATCCTTTGTCTAGGTAAACCTTTGCCTTCTTCAAGCTTCAGTAGAAGAGGGATCTCCTTCGAGTTCTAGCAAAACTGTCACACATGTATCACTTGTGGCACTGTGTTTTGATCGGATCGCCACCCAGTTCAGAATGAACAGGTACATCTTTTGTGTTTTTTATTTCTTAATATTAAAATGAAAATTACTTTTGAATCATTACAAAATGTTAGATTCTTTAACATGTTTACCTACTACCAAAATTCTCTGGCTTCAGAGGGATTGTGGAAGAGACCCCAAACACAACAGAACATGGCCGACCCTCAGTCATGCTAGAGAAGTACGCCTCAGCCACCAAAATGCAGCCCCAGTCTTCGGGCTCACTGCGATCAAATGCAGGCATTGAGAAAGGCAAAGAGATTGCTGCTCGACTCAACATCCACCGCATTCACAGTCAGCTCCGAGGCCTCGACTCGACAGGTCAGGACGAACTCTTGCTATTTCACTGAGTCCCCATTTGAAACTTATTTTACGCGTATTTTTTTCTTTCTCTCTGTAGACATTGGCACCTGTGCCATTACTGCAATTCCTTTTGAGAAATCCAAAGTGCTCTTTGGCCTGGAGGAAATGGAGGAGTTTTCAGTGGTGGATGAGACTGATGCTCAAGTCACAGGAGGTGATCTGGGTCGCTCCATGTCTTCACTGGAGAAATGGGGATGGATTATGTTTGAATGTGGCATTGAGAATCTTACAGTCAAAGGTAATACATCAATTTTCATGTGCTATGAAATATGGGAGTGGAAAATAATTCTATATGTACATTTTTGTCTTTTTTAGGTGGTCGACAATCGGGTGCCATTCTTTACAATGCATTTGGTGTGATGGGTCGCACAGACACAGGAGGAAAAACAGGAACGTCAAAGTCTAATGGATCCACAGGTTCACAGACAGGCAGCGGCTACAGCACAGATGTTTCTGATGACAACCTGCCACACGACCCCCTCAGCCCACCCTCTGATGCCAACGAGAACTCTGACTCTGATGACCAGGTGAGTTACAAAAACACACACACACACACAAAAGACTGTTAATAGACATTTTTACTGATTTGTGCTTACAGGACGAAGGTGTTGAATCAGATGACCTCAAGAAAGACCTACCCCTCATGCCCCCGCCTCCTGACTCCAGCAGCATGAAACTGACCATCCGAGAAATCTGGTTCAGTTTCGCTGCTCCAACAAATGTGCGCTCACCTTCGCAAGCTATTTCAAGGTACACAATCATTACAGAGCCATGCTTAACTTGAAAGTAGTACACCTCTGTCTAATTAGTTTGTTTACTACTTTTCAGGCAGCTCAATCTACTTAGCACAGCCACACCTGCTATTGGCGCCTGGTTGGTTCCCATTGACCAGCTCAAGTCCTCCCTACGCAAACTGGACATGGAAGGCACACTACGAATCTGTGCAGTTATGGGCTGCATAATGACAGAAGCTTTAGAGGTTAGAACATTCACTAATAAGCCAAGATATTTTATGTGTTTTTATATTTTGTTATAATCGTATGTAATATTTATAACAGAAAAAGACTATTCACATTCCATTCCGGAGCAAATACAACCGAGTTACCAAGAGAGCTCGGTATCTGCATGAGAATCCCTCATGTATGCTGTGTAACATCTTGCATCGCTATCTGCAACAAGCAGATTATTCCATAATTGAGGAGGCTACCATGGTAAGTGCAATATAAACTGAATATAAATTGAATTAATTTTTAAAATAATAGTACTCAAGAAAAAGTCTGAATTCTAGAAGCAAAAATGTATGATAAAATAAATATACATTTTCTCACATTGTTAAACACTGATAATATTTTATCTTTGCACTACAAATAAGTTTAAGTAGGTTACATTTAACTGAGTAAATCCATAACACCTGACTTTTAACCTATTCAATCTATTTCCATTTTATTTCAGAATGATGGCGTGCCAGCACTAGTAACTCTAAAGAAGGGTCTTGTGGCATTGGCAAGGCAATGGATGAAATTTATTGTAGTGACTCAGGGTTTCAAAGCCATTGGTCTGATGAGGCCTAACCAGCTTGCCAAGCCAAAAGAACCTCAGCCAACCCTGGTGGAAACGGTGATGGGCCTGGACAATGGCGCCGCCCTACAGAGTGACACCAGCGCTGATGGAGCCGAGTTTGAATTTGATGCAGGTGGGAGTATAAAGCTTTCAAAGGGATGGGGATTGTTTGGTGTACCCCACCTCTGCTTGTCAGTGTTTACACAGACATAAAAGAACAATGTTTGTTGTTTGTCAGCAGATAGTATATTGAGGAAAGAATATTTGACTTGAAGGAGTTTTGGCATTCTTCTCAGAGTTTGATTTAATATTCTTTTGTGAAGCCACAGTGAGTGAACACACCATGTTGCTGGATGGATTGTGCAGCCGCCCGCCGCCTAAGGAAGCAAACACTGGCCCTGTCAGTGGAGTGGAAATCATGAGGAAGCTCTCCAAGTCCCACACACACAATGACTCTGGTCTCAGAATAAAGGTATATGAATTATAGTGCAACCTATAGCTTTTTGTAGTATTGATTTTCAAAAGAAACTCAGAAATATATTGTACAATTTTTGGCTGTGAATGGGAAGTATGAGATCCACAATGAAAATATAAGAGGGACTTTTGTTAGTGAGATAATGTCTGACTGACCAACCATTGCTGCAGATTGGCTGCAATAGTTATAGTAGGTATACGTATAGGTATAGTAGCTGTAGTTGTGGCTTATCTGGTGTGTGGAATGAATGAATAATGCCGTATAAAGCTGGAGGTTGTAAGGTGTGATTAATTATAAGATGACACTGCATTAAGTGGCCATATTCAAGTTTTTTGGAGTGTTAAGTCTTGTCATTTATCACACTTAGGGTTCACATCCATACCAGTCGCTCAGTTACACCAGCGGCGACACAGCAGCAGACTCCCCAGCCCATGTGAGTCGAGGGGGCTTACCGGCCAAGGACAGCCCCAGGAAGGAGAGTCTCTTGAGCAATCTGACAGGCAGTTTTCGAAGTCTGCACAACTTACTGGAGGGCACACCGCAGAGGAATGAACCGTCTACTGCAGCAGCTGCCAAGACCAGCTCCCTGACTCGCACAGGTATTCACATGGCAAAGAGCCCAAGCATTTAAGGCCACTTGTAAGGATGACATTCTAAATAGTCTTTATGTTACGCTTTTGTGCCATTTCAGGGAACAGCCTTGGGACAGACATGCTGACGGAACATCCTCTGCTATCGGCACCCTCTTCTGTAAGTTTTTATAACTGGATGTCCAACGCCGTGGGTGGCAGGACTGGAGGTATCACCCAGGACTCACCAGCCACCCGCTCCCAGCACAACAGTTTACAAACAGGTCAGAAACTATGCAGTTTGATTTACTGAAATGTTTACTCAACTGTAATATATTTTACTTTCAAATGTTGTTCCACAAGACTCCCCGGAATATCTATCCTTGGATAGCTATTACCAATATGAACTACTACCGGTTAACAGCCCAGAAGGAGGTCAGGGATTGTTGTGTTGTGCTTGTGAAGTAATCAGAAAGTCTAGTCTTTTTAGTTTCCCATAGTAAAATAGCTACACCATGTTTATACTTGTAGGCATATAGTTTTGCATTGAAATCAATTCTACAATCCACTATGTAAAATAGATGATAGTTAACTGTTGTCATGTGTTAGTAATTATAAGTGAATTTGTAATGTGACTTGTAATGTGACAATCCAATGCAAAATACTTCTTAAGTTTGACTGTAAGAGTAAGAATAAATGCAGAGGCACAAAACATTCAAGAACATAACGTGACTGCATTGCAATGTGTAACTTGTTATTGATTACTATGTACTATATTGTAAAAATGAAAAAAAATATTATTATGCTGCCTAAGCCTTTTGTTATACTCTGTGTAAAAAGTATAGCACAGTTAATTTATAATATTATTTACCTTACAAATCTCATTGACATTTTTAGGTGGAACCTGTAATCTACCCACAATCCCTTCTGCGTCAGACTTCAACACTGTTTTGTCCAGTGACCAGAACACTTTGGATGGTACACAGTCACAGCATTCCCAGCACAGCACCAGCCAGGATGACATCGATGACATTGAGGAGGGCAACCTGTGCCCAGCAGCTGTACAACTGGCTGATGCCCAGGTATTTAAAAGTCAATTAAAGTCAAATGGTGATCAGACTACTATAACTATATATATAAATACAACAACTACTACTACTGTGTTTATTTTTCTTAGGTTGTTTTCAAGCCCCTGCTAAACTACACTGGCATACAGGCCCAGGATGCTACCCCTTTAAGTTATAAAATGTATTTTGGAGAGCACCTGTCTTTCTCTGGGAACCTTGAATGTCTCCGTGCAGATATTGTTGATTCTGACCCATCTAAAGAGCGGAAGAGCAAAAGATCCAGAAGGTACAAAATCATTCTTAATTTATTTTCTGATTCATTGCTATAATCTTCCTCTTGGCACTGTCAAATATTATCTTCTATTCTAAAGACAAGGCATGGTGAACCTCCCACCACTGGAGTTCAAACCAGCTCTGCTGATCGAGACGTTTAGCCTGAACGCGGTTGTCATGGAGAAGTCCACCAGCGCTCCTCAGGGTCCCACTGCTGCCCCTCTGTCCTTCCACGACCTGAACCGACGTCACTACAACACATTCCACTGTGACTTTACCACTGCCTGCCAGGCCATCAGCCAGAGAGTAGACATGGCCCTAGTGCGCCTCATCCACCAGTTCAGCACCATGATCGACGACATCAAAGCCACACAGACTGATATAAAGCTGAGTCGGTACACTGCAGGCTCAGCTTCTCCAACACCCACCTTCAAGGCCCGCCCCTATCGCCACTTCAGGTCATCTGACTTCAGCCGCAGCTCGAGGGGCAGCATCAATGGAGGCGTCCGAAGTGCCACACAGACGTTAAAGAAAAGGGGAGCGGCTGGAGCTGGGGCAGGAGGAGCAGGCATGAGCGGAGGTCTGCCCCCGAATGGTCCTCCATCAGGAATGGACACACTAGGCAGAAGAGAGCCAAGAGGTCGGACTTCTCTGGGGCGTTCAGAGAGACGCACGTCTAAGGTAATTAACATTGATCTCTTTAGAAATTAAGATGTATACTAATTTGTTTAAGTGTAAAAAATGGAATCATCTCTGTAAACTATAAAACTTTTTTTTTTGTATATTGGGTTATCCTGTCACTCTTTTTTAAAAATAATCTGCATAATATTAATTCATGAAAAGAGAAAAGTATTATCATATTTTTAACAGTTGACAAAACCTCAAAACGTTGCTTAAATTTTAGACTTCTGTCCTATTGAGTTAGCATAAGTATTGCTACCAGTAGGTGGTGCCAGCAGATAACAACAATTACATGGTGGTCATTTCCTTCAAATATGTTTGAATATAGTAATGAATATAGTAATGATATAAAAAAATCTCGATCCTGTGTTATGATTGCAGGTGTCTCGAAAGGGTTCTCGTGATGTGGCGGACCACATGGCGATCCAGATGGATGACTCTGACTCCATCACGGTGTCGGAGCAGAGTGAGCCATCAGCCGAATGTTGGCAGAACATGTACAAGCTGTTAAACTTCTATTCTCTCATCTCTGATCCAACTGGCATCTTAGAGAAAAACTCTCCAGAGAACTGCCTTACAGGTTTGGCACTGGAGCAGTACATTATCTCCCCTCTTTAGTTTTAGGGAAATGGTGATGAGAATTTTATGTGTTTTTACAGAAAATGGCCACAGAACTTCAGAGTCATTCTGTAAAGTGATTTTTGAAAATGAGCAGCAGGAGCCCACCACGCCTAATAAGCCGTCAGGGAGGAGGAGAAGTCTGGTGAGCTCAGAGCCGCAGCACGTCACCCTCATCGTGTTCGGGATAGGCATGGTCAACAGGACCCACCTAGAGGCTGATATAGGAGGACTGACCATGGAGGCGGAGCTCAAGAAGATCCATGGAAGTTTTACACTAAAGGAAAAGATGAAAGGTAGGTGGTAGTGGTAATGGTTCATTCATGTTTTTTCATAAATAACAGGTACCCTTCTCTTTGGTAAATGTGTACTGATTACCTGTCTTTTTTCATCCTAGATATCCTGCATCAGAAAATGACAGAGACATGTGCATCAGCTCACATAGGAGGAGTCAACATAGTTCTCTTGGAGGGCATTACACCAGACATTCAGTATGTGATGTCTAATTTCTTATTGATCAACACATTTCAGTTTTAACAGTGTTTAACTGTATGTATTTTATGCTTATTTTGGACTAAATTTACTTTCTAACCAATTGTAGAATGTAGTTTCTTTTTTACACTGTGCCGCTGCAGTGTATAGCACTCCTCCACTAATGTAAAAGGAATCCTCAGAATATTGCCTTCACCTTGTATATTCTGCAAAGGCAAAATAAGAAAAGGGTGAAGTGTTCATCTCAAGTGTTTTTACTCTGCTAGACACAATTACAAAGCCTGTTCCAGCTTGGCAAGCAATTTCCCTAAAACACAACAACCCTAATCAAGTTACTAGCCCGGCAGTCATGCATCCTGGAAAGGCTATGAATCTGTGTTCTCACTAAGCGTCAAAGTAAGATGTTCAAAAATACTTCAGGTTATTTCGGGACTCCCTAGCAATATGACTTCTTATGCTGATGTCTGGAGCCCCCCTTTGGTCATATGTGAATTGGGGGAAAGCGACTAAGCTACAGCTTCTCTTATTGGCTTTTAGCACTGTCTCACACTTCCCTCTTCTCTTCTCTTTTACTTTTTTGCTTTCTCTGCCTACTATGCGTAGACTGGAGGATTTTCCAACATCTCCCACCAGCACAGCTAAACAGGAGTTTCTGTATGTTGTTGTTAAACATAAAGATTAGGCTTTGTGAATCTACTCCTGGTTGTACATCATCATGTGTCACCTCATCTCATCTGGAATCAGTGTGTTGGTGTTTTTTGTTGTTGTTTTATTACAACAGTTAAAGCTGAACATTCAATGTGCCAAAATATCACTACTGATGATGAATATATTTAGCCCAATAATTAAAAATCTCAAGTGCTTATTTCTTAAAACTAATTACAAGAAGATAAAGTATAATACTTGTCTTGCTGGTCATATTTTCAACGTCATACAGAAATCACTCTCAATCCATTGCCATTGTCTTTCCTGGTCATATGAATGCTCTCCTGAAGGTGCATGACATTTGAATGATAAATGTTTACTTAGGCATTGTCAAAAAAGTGTAAAATGGAGGAATTTATTTACTATATTTTGTTGTGCCTTTTTCAGAACGGTGGTAAAATGCAACATTGCCAAGTCTCAAGCCCTGTATAGTGCGCAGCGGGGACTGAAGACCAATAATGCTGCTGTTTTCAAAGTGGGGGCAATCATGATCAATATCCCTCAGCATCCAGCTACTTTGCACAGCATGATGGTCCGCAGCTCCCACCAGCTCTCCAAACAAATCTCAGACCTCATTCGCCAGCCCTCCAATGCGTATGCGCAAATGTTTTTGTAAATTTTACATCTCTTGATAAATAACCTTTGTGAATCTCCTCCTAATACTCTTGTATTGTTTTTGTATACAGTCAGCCTCCAAACCGGGAGGACACACCCACTCCACAGCCCCCAGACAAAGCATCCAGCATTAATCAAACGCCTGTAGAAGCCAATGAGTTCCCCCAACTTCCTGAGGGTTTGGAGAAGAAGCCAATTGTGCTTAAGTTTAGTGCCATGATGGATGGTATTACAATAGGAGCTGCCCTGCTGCCATCACTGAAGGCAGAGTACAAAATGGGACGTATGAAAAGCCATGGAATGACAGGTGGGTGTGTCTGCCACAGATTAAAATGTAGCATTACTCTTAGATCCTCAGTATTTGTTGTCATTATAACACATTCTTTTTATATACAACCAAGGGGCTCAAACCAGCTTCACTTTTGAATTGCCAAACCACAAGCTCTGTTTCCAGTCCAAAGTGTCCCCCGTGGACTTATCCACCATGCCCCCATCAGCCAGTCTCACTCTGCCCCCTGTCACTATGTCTGGGGAGTACATAATGGAAGACCATGATACTCACTCAGACCATGGGTGGGCACCTGATGACTTTCCTACCAAGCAAGGAAATTATTTGCAAGGAAACTACTTGCGCTGTGTGGCTGAGGTATTAACACCACACGTCGCATTGTTAACTAAAAGGTTTTTGAATCAATATGAAGATGATAAACACACATTTTCTCATATACAGATTGGTTCTTTTGAGCATAACCTGACCACAGACCTGCTCAACCACCTGGTTTTCCTCCAGAAGGTTTTCATGAAGGAAGTCAATGAGGTCATTCAGAAAGTTTCAGGTATGTCACAGTAAAGACACTGTATTTCATTTGTTTTGGTTTATTTAATAATACTTTTGTGCTGTTTTAGTTCTGTACTTTTCCTGTGTAGTTGATCATATTTAATCATTGCATGTTCTCATACACAGGAGGAGAACAGCCTATTCCTTTGTGGAATGAGCATGACACTTCGACAGACGCCGATAAGCCAAAGATTCTACTTTATTCAGTTAGCCTCATGTTTAAGGTATCTCTTCAAAGTGGATGATGTTTTCTAAATTATTACCTATAATGTTGCTGTAATTAGAGATTTGTCTTTTTTTATAGGGAATTCAAATGACAGCCACTACTCCATCCATGCGAGCTGTGCGCTTTGAGACTGGGCTCATTGAACTAGAACTGTCCAACAGAATCCAGTGCAAAGCCCAACCTGGTGGCAGCAGCAGTTATCTGAAACTCTTTGGCAAATGTCAAGTTGACTTGAACCTAGCTCTGGGACAGATTGTCAGGCACCAGGTACAGTAAAGCAAAAGGATGATATTATTTGACCTTTTGTAGTTTAAGAGTTTCAACACTTCCTTTATTCTTGTCCAGGTGTATGAAGAAGCAGGGTCAGACTTCCATCAGGTGGCATACTTCAAAACCCGTATTGGCCTGAGAAATGCTCTGCAGGAGGAAATCAGTGGCTCCTCGGACAAAGAGGCTGTCCTCATCACACTCAACAGACCAATAGTTTTTGCTCAGCCTGTGGCTTTTGACAGAGGTTTTGACTCTTATCTCTATATCTTTTTACGCTCATCTCTTATTTTATATAATTTTGCTGCATTCTGTATTACAGCTGTGCTGTTCTGGTTGAATTACAAGGCTGCGTATGACAACTGGAATGAGCAGCGCTTGGCTTTGAACAAGGACATCCACGTGGCCACCAAAGAGGTGGTGGACAAACTGCCTGGCATTCAGCAGACCTCAGCCCAGGCCTTTAGTACCCTTTTCCTGCAACTGACTGTCAACGATCTAGGTATCTGCCTGCCCATCACCAGCTCCTCTCAGGTGAGCAGTGTTGTTTTTACCGTTTTAGCATTTGTCTGACTTAATTTATTCATGATGCATTTGGGTTTTGGGGGGACAACTTTCATTACAAACATTCTGTAGGAGTTTCTATATGTGATGTGTACAAATAAGACCAGTTGTGTTGTGACATGTATTCCATAGAGAGGTCAAGTGCCAGTTACGGAGGCCAACAGCTCTGAACATGGGACAAGCGCATCAGTAGGCCGCCAAAAATATGCACGAAAAGTAACCAGTGGCTTATTACATCTTCTGTGGCTTGATGTGGGGAAATGGTTAGCTTTGATCATTTCATACAAGTGGCAGTATCACTTGTGCAATTTGTGTACCCATAACAACCTTCTATCTTTCTGGCATAACAAGGAAGTTTAATGTGGTGTATGTGCTTGGGCTGTCTAAATAAATGCCAGTTTCTGGGTCTAATGTATAATTATAATAATAATTCAATTTTAATACTAATGTGCAAACTGTGGTATAAGGGACTGCTGTGACTGCTGTGGTTTGATTATATTCAGCTCTAATGACTCAATGGTGAATGATGTAATTAGAATTAGAATGATCAATATTTCTCTGAATATCCAGAATGACCAGTTAATGACTTGATTTGATGCCTTCTCAGAGTAATAATTTATTTAATCAGTTGTTTCCCTCATGTGGAACTTGACAAAAGAATTCCAGCTTTAAATATTCCCATTCAGTCATTATGAGCCAGTGAACAAGTTTCCCCCATGTCAAAATATTCATGATTTCTTTCCCAGGCCAACCATAGCATAGACTTTGACACCGGCTCTGCCCTGGTCCTGACCATTGAAAGCACACTGATCACTGCCTGCTCCTCTGAGTCTCTGGTGAGCAAAGGGCACTTCAAAAACTTCTGCATTCGCTTTGCTGAGGGCTTTGAGACCTCCTGGGATGACTGGAAGCCTGAAGTGCGAGGAGACTTGGTCATGAATGCATGTGAGTAAAGTATGCACAAATATATAATGGTCATCCCTTGGTAACTTTTGAGGGGCATGAGAGTTGGGATAGAGCTGACGTTGTCTGTACACATTGCTTCTAATTCTTATTTTGTCTGTAGGTGTTGTCCCTGATGGCACATATGAAGTCTGCTCCAGAACTACGGGACAAGCTTCTGCAGGCAAGTTCTTTTTTGCTAGACTATAAATTATTGATCACACCTTAAAGCTGCACAATAAGCACAAAACTCTTTCCAGTAATTCTCTTCTGCTGCTTCTCCCCTTTTATTTTTGTTCCTCTGAATAGAGAGCAGCAGTGCGGGGACGTGGACATTGAATGTCTTGTGGAAAATGTGTGGCATTGACGTTCACATGGACCCCAACATTGGCAAGAGGCTCAATGCTCTTGGCAACACTCTCACCTCGCTGACTGGAGAGGAAGATATCGATGACATCGGGGACCTTAATTCAGTCAATATGGCCGACCTTTCTGATGAGGATGAAGCAGACTCCATGTCGCCCACCATTCATATGGTACGCCCAATTATAGTTTTTAATAGCACATTTTAGTAAATGTGTTTAAACACAAACCATACAAAACCACACATGAGCATATACAGTTACATTCAATACATTGTATGATCCCACCTGGCTCTCAAGGATGTAATGGAAAAGTTGTTGAACTATTGCTCCTGCCCCTCCATGTTCCTGTTATTGCAGAGCTCTGAGACCCCGTTCAGCCCTCGGCTGACCCTAAGGAAGCGTCTGGTAAACCACATTCTGGGCCTGAGCCCCAGACCTCAGAGTGTGTCTGTCCCAGCTGACTACTTAAACTGTGCCTCGCCTCGCCCAGGAGCGGGCGCGGCAAGGTCCCAAAGACCTCTCTCCTGGGCCTGTGTATGTAGCCCCACAGTGACACTCTTCTCTGGGCTGACCAAATCATCTGTTTCATTGGAGGCAGTGCTGTCCTCTAAAATGCTGAGCAATGCTGTTCCAAATCATAGGACGCTAAATCATATGCATGGTACTTGGTAACTTTGCTGAGCATTTGCTGCCCTCATTGAACTTAATGGCAGGTCAAATAGAGTAGAGTGGTGGTGCACAGTCCACACTGAAAAGGTTGCCTTATTCTTTTATCTTCGATTGAAGTGGTGGTGGTTTTACTATTTTGAAATCTATTCTTTCTGGTGTGTGAATTCTTCACAAAAAATTTGGGAAAAAACTATTTAAAAGCCAATAAATGCAGATGTGGGATGCCTGGCTAAAATAAGGTTTTGATCCTTCAGTATCTTTGGGCTTAACAGAGGGACATTAAGCCTTATGGTTGTGAGTCTGACTTGTGTCTGACCTGCAGGAGAGCGTCGACCCCAGACGGCAGATGGTTATGGGGAACCAGGTGACTGATGCCAGAGGGAGGAAGATTACCAAGAGGGTGGTGGACATCCGAGAACTGAATGAGCAAGCCAAAGTTATCGATGACCTCAAGTAACACTTCATAAGATTTATTTTTTCTCCCATTGATAAATGCAATTGTATTGTTCTCTTTAACCCTTTCACTCCATTTCAGAAAACTGGGTGCCAGTGAAGGTACAATCAACCAGGAAATTCAGCGCTATCAGCAGCTGGAGTCCGTTGCTGTTAATGACATCAGGAGAGATGTTAGAAAGAAACTGCGTCGCTCAAGCATGAGGGTACAATGTCTTGTATTTGCTATTTTCACTACATTATTCTCATTTGCTTTAGTTGTTTGTGACTTTGTTTTGTTCCTGTGCCAGGCTGCTTCCCTGAAGGATAAGTGGGGTCTCGGCTACAAACCCAGCTACAACAGGTCCAAAAGCATCTCTGCGGCAGCAGGCAGACCGCCCCTGAAGAGGATGGACAGACAAAGGTCTGTTGTATTTTACTGCTGTGATGGCTCCTTACAGTTCATGTAGTTCATGCCATGTATCACTGTGACTGCAGCTCCAGAATAGGAGATATGGAGGACTTTCCTGACGTGAGGATTGATGTGGCTTCCCCTGGACCTCGGGTCACCTTCAACATCCAAGATCCGGTAAAAACAAAAACAAAGAAAAACTTTTTGGAAACAACCATGACATTTATTAAAAATACATTTCTTTTCTATATACTACTGACAAATCAAATATATTATATTGTCATTTTGTGACAGTTTTGTACACCCTCAATGAGGTTTATGAATGTGGGTAAAATGAACAAACTTACTTGCCGTTTTGTTCTGTAAGTAATAGTAAATTGACACCTTAATCACATAATTTGTGTTTAATTTAAGTCTAAAAATCAGGCCTCGGATTCTGCACTTGCACCTGTCAGTCCAGGAGAAATATTTAAGGTATTTGGTACAAAAATCAAACTTACAAAATCAGACATTTAACCAACCCCAACAAATTTGTGTTTCCTATTTTTAATAAGATATATGCATACTCAAATCAGGATGAGGAATGCTACCAACAAGAACATTCAGAGAACAATATTCACTATCAAATTTGTATTGTAATCTGTCACCATTTCATTCTTCTAACTATATACAACTGAATAGCTTTGATTAGATTGCCCCAGACTACATTATATTCAGACATATCTACCCTACTTTAATACACAGTTGCTACTTATTTCATTACAAACATTCTCATCCTGACTTGAAATGTATCTGAATAAAAATCTTTCCTTCAGCTGCAGATTTTTTAAAGCTTTTTGCTGTGCCTTTAAACTGATCAGATATTAAACGTGGTGTATCTAAATCTATATTTACTAACTTTAATGATAATTATTAAAAATGTTGGTCTGCTGTCCTGCTTGCTTGGTTTTGGGCTTTTTGGAGTTTGGGGATTTTCAGTCTTAAATTTGCCCTACATCAATTATAACCAGATGGATTTATAGAACAGTTTCCTATAGTAGGTCTGTTAAATTGTTCATACATTACGGAAAGCCACCTTCTACTTTGCCATGCTCTGTTTTGGGAATATGTTGATACTACTTCTGCTGGACTGTGCGTCATCTTGTTATATTTTGGGTAATGTACATTCTCATCTTGTTGCATCATATCTTTCATTACCAGAAAATGCATGAATTTGTGTTGGTGGACTACATAAATCAACCATTGCAATTCATTTCTTTTTACTGCACATTTTTCTGGCCCTGACTCTGTGTTCCTCTGTGAAGTTCCCTGAGGAGGCAGAGCTGGACCTGTTGTCAGTCACCATCGATGACCCATCCCATTCATCTCATCTCCATCCTCCATCTCCATCCACTGAGACACAGCGCTCGGCGTTCAGCGCTCCAGGCACTCCTGCTGTCTTCTCACCCACAATTCCCTTCCAGCACGATGACTCCCGACGCGATGACCTCTCCACTTCTTCCTCTGAGGACTCTGAAAAAGAGGATGACTTTGATAGATTACCCAGCTATCGACGGCCTTTGTAAGTCCAGTGTTTACTTCATTTACTATTACAGACTCCAGCATCAATAAATCTTTTTCCTCTTTTTGTCTACAGCCCACCATCCCACAGAAAGTCCACGGGTTTCACCAGTGTTAGTCAGCTGTTCTCCGATCGCTGGCCGGGAACACCGACCAATCGCAGCTTCAGTGGCACGGCGACAGAGCGCAACATAGACTTTGAGCTGGACGTGCGCGTGGAGATTGACAGCGGGAAGTGTGTTCTCCACCCCACCACTCCGCAGCCAGAGCATGAGGATGTCTCCTTGAAGAGGTGGGATGAAAAGAGCTTTCACACTCTGAGAAATAACTCAGCCATATTTGAAGTCTGACTGACATCTCCCGCTGATTCCCATGGGGATAGAAACGCCTCTGAAATGGCCAAATTATTCTTCAAATAATGAGATCCTCTTGAATGATTTGTCAGATGAAAACCGTCTTTAAAATTTGTATTAACCTTGTGTAACTAGTGACATTTCATTACAGTGTGTTGACCGTGCTCTGAAATTTGCCATTGGTGGTGTTATAGAAGCTGCGAGCGTAGTCTTAAGAGTTTGGACCAAGACTCTCCTCCTAAGAAGAAGAAACTACAGCCAACCTACACCTCCACCACTCATCTCTTAGCTGGAAAGAAGAACCCCTCAACCCTACAGACCAAATCAAATGACTTGGAGACCACTGTTTTTTACATTCCAGGAGTAGACGTTAAGGTTAGTCCCTAATTATACAGAATAACCTTCAGATATATGTTGTGTTGATATGTTGTATTTAAATTATTTTTTTATTTATAATATCACAGTTGCACTACAACTCCAAGACGCTGAAGACAGAGTCGCCCAATGCCTCACGCGGATCCTCTCTCCCTCGCACTCTCTCCAAAGAATCCAAGTTATTTGGTATGAAAGATAATGGCCCTTCCAACCCTCCCAATGCTGTCCAAAGCAAGACTAACTCGCTCCAACCTCCCCTGCCCCCACCTATTCCATCAGGTATTATGCTCTCCTCATAAGTTATTGCATGCCCTAATCCTGGACAGTCACATGCACAAGATGTGAAATGATCAAAATCACAACCCCACTAAACGCATGTTACAACTACCGGGCATTTTGATCAATGGGTTCATGCATTTTGATGTGTATCAAAGATGGAGAAAAAACACAAAATTAAAATAATCCATTGAAACATTCATCTAACTGTATATAAACCTAGACTATATAATTGTAACTTTTTTTTGTCTTTACAGCCAAAGGTAAGGGGAGTGGAGGGGTGAAGACAGCCAAGTTGTATGCATGGGTGGCACTCCAAACTCTACCAGAGGAAATGGTCATTAGCCCATGTCTGCTTGATTTCCTGGAGAAGGCCTTAGAGACTATTCCTATCACTCCTGTGGATAGGAACTATGCAGGTTTGTCACGCCTCATATGGACATGTCTAAGAGACAGCTCACACATATACTGTTGATGTAGTGTGCTTTTGAAATATTAATGACTATATTGTGTTTGTTTACTTTCAGCAGTAGCCTCTCAGGAGGATGACGTGGGTCAGTTTGATGCTGTGGATCCATTGGAAGAATCCACCACTTCTCTTGTTTCCTCATCTACATCGGCCTACTCCTCCTTCCCTGTCGATGTGGTTGTTTATGTTAGAGTTCAGGTAACACACTGGCCACTGTCTTGAAAACTTGCGATCATTGTTATGCCTAATGCTATTAAAAAGCTTGTTTTTTTTTCCCCAGCCCTCACAAATTCGGTTTAGTTGCCTGCCCATGTCCAGAGTGGAGTGCATGCTCAAACTGCCTTCCTTAGACCTGGTTTTTTCATCAAACCGTGGAGAGCTAGAGCTTCCATCAGGAGCCCACCCCACAGAGGGACCCAACCCTCCCTCCTCTACCCCTCCTGGGCAGCATGTACCAAAGATACCCCCCAGTAAAGGTGGGCATTCTAGTGTAGCAGCATCTGAACTACAAACTGCTAATGTTTCTTCAGCCCTTTTATTGTCTTTGCTTCATCACTTAGCATACATCCACCATATGTTGTTACATACTGGAGTGAACTTTTCTAACTAGTTCATCCCTTTCTTCTCCCTCCTTATGGGCAGCGTCTCCTCTGCTGGGGAGCCCTCTGGGCAGGAGCCGCCACAGCAGCAGTCAGTCAGACCTGAGTGGCCCCCCCAGTAACTCCTCCGGCCTCAGCTTTACTGCCTGCATGTCGGACTTCTCCCTGTACGTCTTCCACCCCTACGGCGCTGGAAAACAGAAATCTGCAGTCACAGGGCTGCCTCCAGGCCCAGGACCCCTAGGTATGGAAAAGAAAAAGTCATTTTGTAATACACTGGTACTTGCTTTAAGTATTTGATAAGGCTGTCATTTGTGGTTTCAGGCACAGTGGATGAGGAGCCCTCTTCAGTCACAGGAAGAAAAGACTCCCTGAGCATCAATCTGGAGTTTGTCAAAGTCAGCTTATCCAGGATGAGGCGCACCGGGGGCCCCGTGCTGATTGAGAGCTTCATCCCAGCCAAGGGGGGCAAGATAGACACCACTCTCATCAATATTTCAGGTACATTCTGGCTCCAATTCTGACGCTGACATTTGTTACAACAGGGGTTCTCTTTGACATGATCCTCTTAAAAAGCTCATTAAATGTTGAAAAGGTGAACCTGACATCATGTTACACCCTTCTATATTCCAGCTGTGTGTGACATCGGCTCTGCTTCCTTCAAATACGACATGCGGCGGCTGGGTGAGATTCTGGCCTTTCCGAAAGCCTGGTATCGTCGGAGTATTGCCAGACGTCTGTTTTTGGGAGACCAGACCATAAACCTGCCAGGTGACCTGTTTTTGGATAAGCATTGATTTGTTTTATATTATATAAATATCACACAAAACACCCGCTCTGGTCTCTTTCCACTGGGTGCAGCTGCAGTCTCAGTGGATCTGTCCTGTGTTCATTTTTAATATCCCATCCTGTTGGCCTTCTTGAGCCAACATGATCCTTCTCTGTTCTGTGTTGACATTTGCGAGGCTGTCCTTTTACTTACATCTCTATTCTCCACAGCCTCTGGCCCTGCGACCCCTGACTCTGCTGAAACACAGCACCTGTCGCCTGAGTCCAGTCGGAAGGCTTACTGGAGGACGTGGGACGGCAGCAGCGGGGCTCAGCACGCCCCTCAGTCTCCAAATGTGTTTTCGGAGCATTCCACCGGAAGTAACATGTCTCCTGCCCTCAGCCACCTCAAGTCACCTGGGCCAGGGCGCACGAGGAGCGTGTCAGACTCCTCTGCACCGAGGAGAGGTAAGCACAGAAATGAGCCCTCAAAGAAAAGCTGTAGTCAGGAAAAATTGTACTAAGTTGATATGTATATATTTTTTATGTTTGTTATGTTTATTTTTTGCTTAATTTAGATAATCAATAAACCAAAAAAGTTATTTAAGCTTTCACCTCCCTTGTAAAAAGTAAAACATGTAACTGGCTGTTTTAAAAACCCATAATTTTTAAAAGTCACAGCAGGATATACTCATGTAAACATCTTTAATAATTGTACAAATAAAGTGCTGTATCTTCATTTGTAAAGTTAAATGCCGTACTCAGATTAAAATTTTTACCTTTTTTTTTTTTTTTTTTTTCCAGATTCTGTGTCAAAAACCTCAACTCCAGCCTTTGGCAAAAATGGAAAAGCTACCGGGCAGCAGGGGGCGCCATGGGAGACTCTTGTAGTGTTTGCCATCAACTTGAAACAGCTCACCGTGCAAATGAACATGAGCAATGTCATGGGAAACAACACGTAAGGACACATCAAAATAGTTCAAACTCAAATACGTCGTAGTTTAATTTAAGCCGTTCCCCTGATAGACTATGATAGTGTCTTTATAGTTAGCTGGACTTAATCACTCTTTGTTTACATTCATCACAGTAAGAAGTGATTGCAGATTTTCCCTCTAGAGCAGTTTTTTGCTTATCCTTATTATTTTACCATCAGTTCAAAACCGATTTTCTACCCTCTCCGGCCTCTTTTCGCCCACCACTTTCCGTTCCTTTCATCTGTTCTAATGACTGCGTATGCCGGTGACTTCAAAAAATACAGCGATGTACAACTTTTATCTCTCTGGTTAAGGTGGCTTTGCAAAAAAATCTGCTGAATCATTGACAAACAGGGAGCCTTCATAACTTAGACACTACAGTTTTATGAGCTCTGAGTCCAAGAAAGTCAGAAAGGAATTGTGTGGGCGCATCTTTTAGTCACAAAAGCCACACCCCGCTGTTGTTTACAGCAAGTATCTACACTGCTGGCTGGTGTTTCAATAATACAAGGCGCTAGAATATTTAGAGAAAAAAAATACATTTTTCTTGGTATTTTTTCTATATTTTTTACATCCATACATCATAGTAGCTCTAACATTATTCTTTAATCTTACATTGGATAATAAATTATAAATGATGAAAAATACTCAGGTGAAGTATTTTGTTAAATACTTTTGAGTAAAGTTTAGGACATATTTTAAAGATGTACTATGCAACTTTTCTGGAGGACAATAAACCACCTGCTTGTCTTTATGGAGAGGTTGTTTCTTCGCCTTGAAGGATCCACAGTACAGTATTAAACTTATTTGCTTGTCTCTATGGAGATAGATAACACTATCAGACCAAGTTACAGATCAGATCTGTGGACAGGTGACCCTGCTCTCAGTAAGATTGCATGTTTATAAGGTAATTGAATAAATGCAAGATAACGCCATATTGTGGAACATTATACACAAAGCAATCTCATTTTATCTCTGTTGACTGCCAAGAAAAATTACACAGAGCACCTTTTAATCTGATTACTACTTTTCCACTTAAGTTGCCCATTTTACCTAGTAATGATGTATTGTATGTAGTATATTAGTCCCTCCCCAGGGCAGTTGAGGTTACAATAGTAGTTTACCACCACCGAGTGTGAACTGAATGGATAATGCTCTATAAAGAGCTTTGGGTGATGATTAAATTAAATTTATTAGTAATGAAGCTACCTTGGTATTCAGATTATATAACAATTTATTTTTGGTTTATAATACATGTTTTTTTTTTTTATTATTATTACAAATACAGCACACTAACAGGTGCCATTCTGTTTTTGTAGCAAAGCCAAAAGTCGAGCTGTCAATCACTTCTTTAGCCAAGTTTTATTTTTGTGTGTTAGATGTGTTTACACCTGGCCAAGTCCTCACAATGAGAGTCATTTATGTTTGATAGAGAGTGCTGCTCCATTATTCAGCGCCCTTTCACTGTGTGTTTTGGCCCCTGCAGCTGGACGACCAGTGGACTGAAGAGCCAGGGTCGCCTGTCCGTGGGCAGTAACCGAGACCGCGAGATCAGCATGAGTGTCGGCCTGGGACGCTCCAAACTGGACTCTAAGGGCGGAGTGGTGGGTGGCAACATAGATGTCAATACCCTGGAGATGGTCTGTAAGTAAACACTACAATATTTGCTGTTTTTCCCCATCTTGTTAGCTGCTTGTTCTTCTACTCACATGAGCCACGATTCTCACTCACCGTGGAGAGCTGGGCAGACTCAATATATTTTGGTCATATTTTGGTGAAAGTTTGAGTAAACTTTAGAGATTAGAAAAAATAAAAAAGATCATGATTTGATAAAGCATGTTTTCTGTGTTATTTTATTTAAATTAACCTTCATTTTACCTGGCTGAACATACCCTTCAATCACCACCAGTCACTCACACATACACACCACACACTAGGCAAGATGGGTGAAGTGTCTCGCCTAAGGACACAACAACAGTTTACACAAGGACAATTTATGTATAGGACTACTAATTCAACATAATGGCAAATGTTCAAGCATTTTAGTTGATCTTATTTATTTGCCTGTTTTGGAGTTATGTGCCAGTATTTGCCAGTTATTTCCAATTGGTTTGTATTTTTATGGCTGCAGTAAAACTGAAAAATATGTTTTTTTGTAGCTCACATCTCTGAACACCCAAACCAGCAGCCAAGCCATAAAATCCAGATCACCATGGGGTCAACTGAGGCGCGAGTGGATTATATGGGCTCCAGCATTCTAATGGGTGTTTTCAGTAATGCCGATTTACAACTGCAGGACGAATGGAAGGTCAACCTATGCACTGTGGACACCAGCATGTCAGAAAAAAGGTGTGAAATGTCAAATTTGAATATAGATATATACTTACTTACTTACTGTTGCATTCTATCTTTCTGCCTCCTGCCCCCACACTCATATTTTCATCCTTTGCTTCTTCCAGTGAGATCTTCATCCATGGAGACTTGCACTGGGACATTTTCCAGGTGATCATTTCGCGCTCCACCACTCCGGACCTCATCAAGATTGGCATGAAGCTGCAGGAGTTTTTCACTCAGCAGTTTGACACCAGCAAACGGGCTCTTTCCACCTGGGGCCCCGGACCGTACCTGCCTCCAAAAACCCCCGTCATCAACAATGAGAAAGGCACCACTGAGCTCTGTAAGCACGCTTTACCTGCTAATGCTTTGACAGGGCTGTAGCATCAGCTGCCTCAGCAAGTGTGCCGCAGAGACAGTAGCTTAAATGAGCGGGCACAAGTTACATTTTTGTCTAGTAAGTGAAAATTCCTTTAGAGTACAATAGGATAAATAAGACAAATCAAAAACCTGATACAGTCTATTATTTACTAGTTTAAAGTCAAGTGCACAGTGATTATACACAGTGTGAGAAAGTTGTCACACTAGAACAGTTATTGTCAGTAAATCTATAGTTAGATAAATAGACATATCTGTTTTTATGTGTTTTTTGTGTTTGACTTTTAACCTCATGTTGCATTGCTTCTCAGATCTAGATGCAGCTCACCACCGGCACTGGCCCGGGGTGCTGAAGGTGATCGCGGGCTGCCACATCTCGCTATTCCAGATGCCCCTGCCTGAGGATGCTGTGCAGCTCGGTGGGTCTATGAGTCTCCACGGCAACCATATGACCCTGGCCTGTTTCCACGGACCTAACTTCCGCTCCAAGTCCTGGGCTTTGTTCCACCTGGAGGAGCCCAACATCACCTTCTGTACTGAGGCACAGAAGATCTGGGAGGATGGTGAGTGGAGGAACAACTATAAATATTCAGAACACAAGCTTACTTTCTGTGTTTTGTTATAGAATCTTCCATGAGTGATTTATTGAGAAAGTCATCATGTAAAATCTTCAGAACATGTTGTCATATAGTGATCTGAAAAAGTATTGTTTATTCTAGTTATGTTGTGGAAAATGTGTATGTATTGTATTTTCAACTCGCCTTGCTATCTTTTATCACCAGGTTCTAAAGATCATTCGACTTACGTAGTTCAAAGACTGGATTTCCACCTTGGTCACAACACCATGGTAACCAAACCCTGTGGAGCACTTGAAAGCCCAATGGCTACAATCACCAAAATCACCAGACGACGCCACGAAAACCCACCACACGGTGTCGCCACTGTTAAAGAATGGTTCAACTACGTCACTGCCATGAGGAATGAAGGTAAAATAACCCACTGTGGGAACTTAACATTGTAGCTTTTTATTTGTGTGTACTACTTTAAATGTACTTTGGGGACAGTGCATAGTATTAAGTATAAACTCCTCTTCTAGAGTTAAACCTGCTCAGGAACGTGGAGGCCAACAATCAAGAAAATGGAGCCACTGCCAAAAGTTCCAGTCTTCTGAGCAGCTTCCGTGGCTCCTCCAGCTACAACCACGAGACAGAGACCATCTTCGCTCTTCCCAGAATGCAACTGGACTTCAAATCGACACATGTGCAGGACCCGGAGGAGCCTACTTTATCAGGTACAAAAGCACAAACGTTTAACAAAGAAAAGTGCATCATAATATTCAAAATATACATAGACAAATAGCAGTTAACCAGATCAATCGAGAATAAACTTAAACTGTAAATACTACTTCAAACATGTGAAGTACTACCAAAATCCCAACAATGTTCCTTCTTTTTCCCAGATGCCAACAGCAAGCCCAAAGTGGAGTGCAGCGTGGTGACGGAATTCACTGACCACATCTGCGTTACCATGGACGCCGAGCTCATCATGTTCCTCCATGACCTTGTGTCCGCTTACCTCAAGGAGAAGGAGAAAGGTTACAAAAGTCTACTGTCAACCGGCTCAGTCCTAGTACTTTAGCACAGCAGCAGGTTCACTAATATAACATCATCTATGAGGGACTTGCAGTGGGAGTTGTGAAGTGGAGCTATTGTTTTAAATAGCATTGTACTTGGCAGCAAACTCAAGCACATATGTACCTCTGTGCCATTAAAGTTGTTTATTAGCTGTTTCACTCGTCTATTAATGGCACCACCATTTCAGTGACTTTGTGCAATGTTTCAAAAAGACAAGTCTTTATGCCTGCGCCAATTGTTTTATAAGAATAAACCCCTGCCTCTATTGATTGTGCTGAAATGAATTGAAAGATGCAGATCTGTTGAGATTTTCATTAGTGTTTATATTATTTCTGATTAATTAAGATGGAAATTAATTTATGGTTTCAAGGTAACAGCTCTCAAGGCAAACGCCCGTTGTACCTCTGTTGAGAATTACTTCTTTATATTGAAGACTTGCGTTGTGTTAACAAGAAAACATCCATTCACCGAAGCTTGGAAAAAAACAAAAGCTCATTGTTTGTGTTTTGGGTGTTATTTGTTTAGCGCTGTTTGCCCCGCGGATGTTTGCAGCGAGGCCAGGACAGAAGAGCCCCACTGCCCTCCACGACGAGAGCTCTTCAGATAAAGACAAGGACGACAGCTCCAACTACACCACCGTGGACTGGAGAGAGTTCATGTGCAACACGTGGCACCTGGAGCCCACGCTCAGGTCAGCCCCGCTCCACTCACGCACCACTGTTTATATGACAGGGCTGTTCTTTAGTTAGCTCGGGCAAAACAACACTTCAAAGGCTGGGACTGGAGAGTTTGACAAGTACATCAAGTTTGCTCTAACAATATTTCACAGGCAAATTTGACTGTCTTATTTTAAAGCCATGCGTTCCGTAGTTATTTTCCATCTTTGTTAGGCTAGATGCAACTTTAGTTTTTACAGAAAATAAACATACCGGTACACAAAATGTACTTTTTTATTATTTTTCTGTACAATTGTGGCCAGAAGTTCACTGGAAAAAAACATTCTGAACATTCTGATTCTGGTTTAACAATATGAAATCAGAGCTAAAAGTACTGACAGAATATCCCGGTGGCCCTGCTCTCACACACATCTCTCCTCTTCCAGACTCATTTCCTGGACCGGGCGTAAAATCGACCCTGTTGGTGTGGACTACATCCTGCAGAAGCTGGGCTTTCATCATGCAAGGACTACAATTCCCAAGTGGCTGCAGAGAGGTGTGATGGACCCTCTGGACAAGGTCCTGTCTGTGCTCATCAAGAAGTTAGGCACAGCTCTGCAGGACGAGAAGGAGAAGAAAGGTCAGCGAGACAAGGAAGAACACTAGCAGGACAAGAAGGAGGACAAAGGTCAGCGAGACAAAGAACATTAGAATAATCACTGCAATGGAAAGTTCTCAAACAGTCACACACTGGAACTACGGGAGCCACTAAAGGACAATATTAATCATGTGAATTTCAGCTTAGTTCACTGTGGGGCATACCACTCAAGCTCTGACTGAACCTTTTGCACCTACTGTATGTTTTGTGTATATTTGGAACAAAGTAGCAGATAGTAGTATTATTTGACTGCTTTAATGGTGAGACCCACCTCTTGTAAATGACCTTAATGAATTGATCAAGGCTTGCGACTATTTCATCCGAGATGATTTTCAAACCATTGCCTTTTCTTTGTTTCCCATGGAACACATGCTTCAATATGTGTTATGTTCTGTATAGTGTAGGTTAGACTATTTAAGAACACTTTGATGATTTTGTTACATTGAACAAAGATGTCCTGGAAGCACATCATGCACATGAGGATGCCATGACGACCTGTAATCATTATTTAAATCTGGTTCTTTATTTAAGAGTAGGTAAGTGCAATGTTAACATGTATGTATGTATAAGCTTGGTGTGACAAGCTAATGTTTGTCTTTTTTAATCTCAATAGTAGAACCACTGTACATATTGTAATTTCCTAACTCAATAAAATGCCATTTGATTTTACAAGCTTTTGAAGTATATCTTTGAAACAATTACCATAAGCCTCTGTTTAGTCACATCTTGTTTGAAAAAACTCTTCAAAACATTCTTGAAGCATCGATTTGTTTCTGTTCTGCTTTTTAGGTCCTTAATGAGCTCGAGGATAAGCCTGCACAGAGCATTTAGTAATTCATAAGAGCTTCCAGTAGCCTCCTCTCATGTATGTCGACACACATCCTCCCATCCCATAATAATCCTGCTGCGTTCACCATGGGGTACGGTATATAATGTATTCAGTGAAGCCAACCACTCTGTTTCCTCTGCACAGTTTTTTTGCATTTTTGATGGGGGCGTTGGCGACCGGAGTGCGAGGAGAACTGGAGCTTTGGTTAACTCGCTGATGCCTGCTGACAGATTACAGCACTTCCAACCTCAGGAAACCCACCACCGCCTGAGAACAAAGTCTGAGCTCCTGTGTGGCTCGTCTGGACATTCTTTTTTATCTAAGTATTCTGTAAGACTACTCTCTTTGAACTGGATTTGGATATTGTTACGCTTCTTTTTTTTATGTCTTTACAGTTGAATAGCCAGTAGGGGGAGTCACAAGCACAACCCTTCTGCCTCCCTGATGTATACTGTCCAATACTAAATTATGAACTGCATACATGAAGAACAAATGAGGTGAGAATGTACACCATGTTGAGCACATATAGCCTGGATAAGCCCACTGAAGATTTGTGGGGAATTGTGTAACTTTGCACAGTTAAGAGGGAAAAAATATTGTAGAGTTGTAGAGGAAAGTTGACTATTTTATCTGGCATTTTCAGATGTTTTAACATTAACAGCACACGCTTTGAAGTGGGCAAAATAGCTCATGCTTTTGACAGGTACCTATAGACTTTTTTTTCTTAGCTTTAGAGTTGTACAGAAGTGAACTGGCAGAACAGATAACAATATAAATATATTTTCTATTGCTACACTGATAGTTTTCAAGGCTTTAAATCACTACAAATGTGTTGGTGAACTTTGTTCTCTCAAAGTTCTCTGCGCATTTCTTTCTATTTTTTTCCTCAAGACACTTGTTCAGATGGGAAAAGCAGTTGGCATCCAGTTCATAAGTTCATTTCCCACTCTCCCCTGGTCACACTGTCATTGTGCTTTTGGACAAGACAGTCCATCAAACTTCTGTGACAAGGTTTTCAAATGTTCCTGTCTTCAAATTCTAACTAAACTAGCTTTATTTGGTTTATGTGGACATTCTCACTACTTTTTACAACTACTGCAACTTCAGTAGTTCAGTAGTACAATGGGCATTACTCTAAGTTACTACCACATGATTCAGTGGTTTCCAGGGGTATGGTTTCAGATTTTAAAAAAGATGAAATTGAATTGTTGCAGCATAAAAAAATGTAATGTAATAACGAGGGGTGTGAAAAAATATTGAAATATCGATATATCTTATTGTTTTTATTGGTATCAGTATCATGTGCTGCTGTATCGATATATCGCCAAAGAGCTACAGTTGTTTTCCTCGTTTGGAGAAAGTTCACTTGTTTATGCTTTACACTTGGCATTTTCACTGTTTTGAGTAAAATTGTTGTTTTTCATATGAACTTTTAGCATCACAGCCATGATTTAAGCTTTGTTTTTTTACTGAACCGTATTGAATCGTTTTGAAATATATCGTATCGAATCATATTGAATCGAAAATGCACTGTATCGAAAAACCATATCGTATCATGGCCTATGTATCAAGGTATCGTATAAACTTCTTAATGATAACCAGGCCTAGTAATAATTGACAAAATACTATAGAAACAGATGAACACAAACTACTGTGAGACAAAGTTTCGATGATACTTTATGACTGTAACTTTATGACTTGTAACAAAACCATATAATTTAGTTTTGCCTTTGATTTGCGTATCAGAAAAATAGACCTTGTTATCAAATGATTCATTAGCAGCAACCAGAGAAGCTGTAATACCTTTTTCAAAAGCTCTTCAAAGCTGACATCAAAGCTCTGCCCTACAGTTTGAATGTGCCAAAGTGGGCCAATAAAGACTGGGGTGCTGTGAATAGGAGAGCACTGTGCATTGTTATGATGTACAGCAATTAAACTGCCTTAACAGTAATGAGCAAATGAAGGTTTGAGCTCCTTTCTGATTGAGTCTCTAATTGCTTGTTCCACTTCATCGGCTTTACTTCGATTTAATAATTTGCCGTTACAATATGGTGCCGCATGGAGTTATGTCGTTAGCATAAATCAAATGTTGTGTGCTTCAGAGGCGGTTCGCTCGCGCCCCTCCAGCCTCACAGAGAAACACGGAGTCCACAGTTGGCAGTGGCCTTGGTGGTTACATCTGCTGCTCTCTTATGTCTGAAGCGTGGATGTGCTGTTTGTAGTGAGGCCAGTGTGGCAGGTTCAGTCCTTGTGCTGTGAAAGCTGTTTTGACCCAAGGGGCAAAACTGAAGTGAATGCCAGGCGATTTCAAACATCACTTCACTTAGAAACAACATTCACTAATATTATTTTTTTCTAATATGTTTAAAGAGCACATATTAAGCTGTTTTCTGGTATATGTCATAATGTTTTTTCCTCATCATAAATATCTGCAAAATATTTAGTTTTAGTTTTATTTATTCATTTATTAAATATGGACAGTGCATATTAATGAACATCTACAGCATTGCAGTGTAAATATGACAGATTATAGCAAAAATGTTCATATCTATCTGTAGTCCCTCAGCAGGTAACACCACAAATTTAACAGAAAAAAAACAACAACAACAATAACAAGTGACAGTTCTAAACTAAAAGTGTCCACAAGTCTGGTTTTCCTTTAGCATGTTTCAAGTGGGATTTGAAAGTGTCCAGTGTTGGAGTCTCTCTTATTGATAATGGGAGATTGTTTCAGAACTTAGTGCCTCTGACTGAGACACACTTTGTCCAAATGTGGCGCGTCTGTGTGGAGCTCACAGTTCCTCCGGACTGTGGCCCTGATTTCCATCCCACTGACGGTCTTTATTTTAATAAAATCCTGTCACGGAGGTGGGGCAAGTCCATACAATACTTAATATATAAAACATCCAATATTTAAAATGAACAAAATTATAAAAATTAAGCAGGTTGTACTTATCTAAAATAGTGCAGTGGTGAAATGAGAGTGGTTTCTTTTTAAGTATTTTTACAGTTTAAAAAAAAAAAGCGATTCAACTGGTTTGAGTGTTGTGCCAGCAGCAAGTGGCCATGTGGTTCTTCTATATGAGACAGTATCATGGAGTGTAAAAACATTAATGCCGCATATAGAGTCATAAAAGATCTTATCTGTCTAAAATTCACTACATTAAAATTAACAGTGTACAGTACACCTGGAGTTTCATTCACACACGTTTAACATACAAACCCTGCATATTTAGGTGGGAGTTCTCTTAGGAGAGTTCTTTCCTCAAAAAAAAAAAAAGAAAACTCTGTTCCACCTTGTGATATCATGTAGTAATACAGGAAGTGCTCCATTGTGTTTTCAAACTCCATACACCTTCATGAGAATCGTTTGGATTATTCCAGCCTTAGAATTGCTGTTAACTTGAAAACTACTTCTTCACAACATCACAAGATCATGTTGAGCTTTGGAGATGTGGACAAACTAATAATAAAAGGTTTATTCAAACATGTTTTTAGGAGGTAACAACATTCTAACAAAAGCTCACAAGAGTCAATTTTAAATAAAATAGAACCTTTAAGAAAGCTAATGAAACAGTACAGTAACAGTATCATAATGATTTATAGGACGAAAATACAGTCAAGTATGTCAAAGTTTGGATAATGTTTGCAAACAAAATCTGCTCACAATCTGATTTCTGGAATAATCAGATTACTGAAATGTCATGTAAACAGTTTCATCTGATGTGTGTAGCAGACTTCTCTCTAACTGCTTACACCTGGATTGACAAGAGGAAATATGCGAAAAGGGAGAAAACTAATGTGGCATAAACAATAGCATGTTGATGAGACTGAAAGAGTTATTTTAAAATAGATTGTACTTTGTTTTTCAAATGTAACAAAATCCTGAAAATTTTACTAATGATGTAATTGTATGTTTCAGATAACTGAGAAGATCTTCCAGGATATTCCAGCTGTATGTATGTTTCTTGTTAAATTACTAAACATTTTGTAAATTAAAAAACAAGTTTCCAAGCTTGTATTAAGTGCATCATCAGAAATAGAAGTAGCTGCAATGTGCTTTGTAGAAATACTAGGAGCAATACGTACTTTTTGAGAGCAAGTGAAGTTTGAGAGCCTTTTTTAATATTTTCATGTATAAACCAAAAATCTGCTGAGAAACTGTGCACATTTAACTACTTGTATAAACATTAAGACAACTTGTCAAAACAGTGTTGTGCAGTTTGCCATATTTTGGTTCTAATAACTCATCATACGTTGCCTTTTCTAACCCTTTTGATCTGAGCGTGTACCCGGCCTAGTCATATCTGCCCTCCTCATCTCTCTCCAGCTCCTCCGTCCATTATGTGTCCAGTCCCAGCCCACTGAACATCCGCCATATTGTCAGGACCAGAAGGCACGTTACACCAATGACTGCACTCACATGTTTCTGATTTATCTGAGCATGTGCAAGATAAACTCTGAGCTTCAGCCAAACACATCAACGCAGAGGTGGGCACTTACATTTCACTTAGCAACTTCTTAAAGGCCCTGTATTATGCGAAATTGACTCTCTGGCGCTTTAAGGCATGTTAGAATGTTGATTTTTATAGGTCTGTCTACATCTCCAAAGCTCAAAATGCTCTACTGAAGCGGTAGTTTTCAAGTTAACAGCTCCTTTTTTTAAACTTTCACTCAGTATAGACTGGCAATTCCAGGGCTTAAATCATCTAAATGATTCTAGTGAAGGTGTGTGGAGTTTAAAATCGCAGTTTCTTCTATTACAACATGACATCACAAGGTGGAATAGAGTGTTTTCTGTCTGAGAGAAGTGCAGGATTTGTGTGTTAAACATGCGTGACTTAAACTAAACACAACTCCAGGTATGTTTGTGATGAGGAAACAGCATTATAACTAGAGCCCGACCGATATATCGGCTGGCCGATATTATCGGCCAATATGAGCACCTGGAGACATATCGGCTATCGGCCGATATGCTTGCTGATATGGGCCGATATTTCACGTGGGCATGTGATACCTCGTTATAAAGCTTAGACTCTCTACATTATGTTAATTTAATCCAATTTACAGACAGATAAATGTCCTAATATGTGGCTCCGCATCAGTATTTATCTGCGGTGTAATTTGTCTGTGTCCGTACTGTCCCTGAACACACCACCAGAGTGACGTCACTTCACTCACGTGTGTTTGTTTACACCCGCAGCAGTGCGCAACACTGATATATTCTTTTTCGGACAATCGGTTTGAGTCTGGATTAAAAGGACATTTATTAGTGCAGACTTGTGATGCGAGGAGGAGCCTGTGTGAGCGGTGAGTGTTGGAAATACATCGACTTTGAAGCTAGTTTAGGTTTTGTTAGCGGTTAGCTGCTGTAGCTCCAGCACATAAACAGGTGGTTTAGTTTTGGTTTAGTCCTGCTTGCAACAAAACAATCTCAAGAGTCGCTTGGGAGCCGAAAGAGCCAACTGCTTTAGTGAGCCGAGCCAAAAGAGCCGGTTCTCCAAAAAAAAAAAAAAAAAATGGAATACCCATCACTAGTAGCTAGAATGTGATGCAAAAATGCCATTAGGCCAATCTACTGTATGTAAATATGATGTAAAGAGTCAGAATAACAATAAATGTTGCCTAAATAAACCCAATTTAGAATCCACTAGAGCCAAACCTAAGTTTTTTAATCAATTCAAGATTTACAGTGAATTTTTACATCACTAAATATATCGGTGATTATATCGGCTATCGGCAGCTCCTACTCCCATTATATCAGTTTCATATCGGCCACAACAAAATCCATATCGGTCGGGCTCTAATTATAACAAACATTAGATCACAATATAGCGTGATATCGGCCCTTTAAAGAAATAGTACTTTACTCTAGTCCAACTTGAATAATATATGTGTATTTTTTGGTGTACTAGGGATGTAACGATATCCAAATCTCTTGGTACGATATTTTCACGATATGCATATTTTGAAGAGGCTGATATAATTGTAGACAGGACACTTTTTTTTTTCTTTTAAAATACCTTGACAAGATTTTGGTGTGAATAATTACTGTCATAATCGTAAGAATTCAAGTAAAAAACATATAACTTCATGTTGTCTGCGCTGAAATGAATCATGGGATATGTAGTTCCAAATGTTTATTAGCTATTGCTGCTATAAAACCATACATTTAAGCAAAGGAACTTGTAATTCGATATATTGTGACAATCCACAATATTATTGTGAGACTTTTGACGATAGGATATGATGATATTTCGGTTATTGTTACATCCCTTGTGGTTACTCTTCCTACTGTAAGTAATTCTACAAGTGACAAAAGCTTTATGTTGATTTGACCATTTGTGTTTCTTGCATCGCTCCTGCAGATATGAAACTGTCCTTTGACAATACCTGATTTTGTGCATTATTTCAGATTTTATCCTTACATTAACTTTAAATTATAAATCAGATGTTACAGTCACGGCAGTAAATACTAACTTTTTCCATAAATGACTTCATTTATAATCAATCCCCACTACACTAATTTAACATTTCAAATATTAGCCACGGATGTTACTGCCGTGAGCTGTTGTTACCGCTGTTTTTGTTGTGGTGGTTCTGATTAATTTATCCAGACTTGTGTAGCTGTAGGCATCTTGTGAACTTTGTGTGTGTTACCTCACAACTTGTCCAGATTATTCAGATGTATGTAAACAAGCCACAGCACATCTCAGAAGGAGCTGGGATATTGCAATTTCTCATTTAAAACTTTTGGAATGTAGCTAGAAATGGTAAAAAATTACATAGCTTTTTTACTTTTTATTTGTGCTTTTTCATAATTTTAATAAATGTACATAAAATAACAAACAATCTGGGGTTCTAAAAGAAAATACCTCATACATTAGAGTGAGCTTTTAAATAGACCATTTTGACCATTACTTCTCAAATTTACCAACTTTCAGTCTCAAATAATAAGTTATTTTTTCCATCCCATAAATTTCCTCCATTATATATGTCCATTCCTGTAATTTTAAAGGGTCATCCTTCAGCCAATTCCTTGTTATAACTTTCTTACGAGCCAAAAGCATCACTTTAAACTATAAAAATTTTAACTTTAGAAATAGAAGTCCTCAATTCGAATAATATTTTCATGCAACAAGCCCAAAAACAAGCCCAAAAACATAACCTGTGTGTCAATGGGTATTTTATGGTTAAATACCTCTTCCATTACAACTGCAATATTTTCCCAAAAGGATTTCATTTTAAATTTCCCAAACACACGAGAATGATTGGCACGCCTGTCACCACACTGTACATAGTGTAGTTTTAAAGCACTGAGGTACATGGTAATGAGAGCAGCGGTATTGGTAAGAACATAAGTGCTCTTTGTTCTAGCAGCCAGGGGTATCTTTTTCACCTCGGACAAATATTGTACTCTGAGATCTTACACTTCTTACTGTCTTTCAAACTTTGTGTTTTGGACTTGAACATAAAAATGAAATGTCTTGCCTTTATTGAGTCAATAAAGGCGAGCTGTGCCCTTGTTACTGCCTTCCATTGTACCACTAAAGTAACTTTCAACAGTGTTACTGAAGTCAAGGGAGTCCCACAGGGCTCTGTTTTGGGGGCTCTATTTTTGTGATGCATTAAAGCTCCTATATTATGCAAAATGGACTTTGGGGAGCTTTAAGACATGTTAGAATGTTGTTACCTCAAAAATATACGCAGAGTTGTCGAGTTTTGTTTCATTCACACATGTTTGAGTAATACCAGAAGGCACGTTACACCAATGACTGCACTCACATATGTCTTCATGTGTCACATCTGAGTTATCTGAGCATGTGCGAGATAAACTCTGAGCTTCAACCGAACACATCAACGCAGAAATGGATAGTACTCAGTTACATTTAATTTAGCAACTTCTTAAAGGTTCTATATTATGCAAAATTGACTCTTGTGAGGTTTAAGACATGTTAGAATGTTGATATTATTACTCTTTCTACTTCTCCAAAACTCAAAATACTCTATTCCACCTTGTGATGTCATGAAGCGGTAGTTTTCAAGTTAACCTTTTACCTTTAGTTCAGTAGAAAGTGAAAATTCCAATGCTAAAAATATCCAACTGATTGTAGTGAAGGTGTATGGAGTTTAAAAAACACAATGGAGCACTTCCTGTATTACCACATGATATCACAAGGTGGATCAAGTCTTTTCTGAGAGAAGAACTCAGCCTAAATATGCAGGGTTTGTGTGTTAGCTAAAACAAAACACAACCTTAATGTTTTTGATGAGGAAACAACATTATAATAGATCAGAAAATTGTGTAATATGTGTCCTCTAACCTGCATTTTACACACTTCCCTAATCATATCATTTATTAAGCTGTATTTTTGTATATAACCTTTGTAGTTTTGACAGTTGATCTTGAGTTATCCGTTTGTGCGCGTGATGGAAACACAGTGACATTGTTGCATGAGCCAGAGTCCTCACAGTGCAGTCCATATGTGCTGCCAAACTCCCATCAATAATGGAGCTGATTGGAGATGATTGCACCCTGTCCCATCAGCTGAGACTCTGGGAACTGCCAAATGTTTTTTCCCCCCACAAATAATTCCTCTGAAAAGTTGAGTGAGTGGTAAAAGGACAGGCTCAGTCTTCTGATTCTGTTAAACGTCTATTTTCTGATCTATGTTATAATGCTGTTCTTCATCACAAACAGACATTGAGTTGTATTTTATTTTATTTATACATGTTTAACACACAAACTCTGCATGTTTAAAGAGGAAAACACTCTGTTCCACCTTGTGATGTCATGTGGTAATACAGGAAGGGCTCCACTGTGTTTTTAAACTCCTCACACCTTCACTAGAATCATTTGGATGATTTCAACCTTGGAATTGTCAATCTCTGATCTAAAGGTAAAAGGTAGATGTTAACTTGAAAACTACCACTACATGACATCACAAGGTGGAACGGAGCATTTTTAGCTTTGGAAGTGTAGACAGAATAATAATAATAAAGGGTTGCTTATAGGTGTTTTTGATGAGGTAACAACATTCTAACATGACTTAAAGCTCACAAGTGTCAGTTTTGTGTAATATAGGAGCTTTAATTCAGCAGCAATTTTCAGTAGTTCTGGCAAGACATTTGTCCCTAATATTTCTTGTACCCCACTTTTAACAAATTAAAATTTTCCATTTTTGTGTAATTAATGTAATTTGGAGAAAACTCTGGCCCGTTTCCATTTTTTGAGAACCCGTGATTAACAGAACATCAGATTTAGTCTTGCTATTTTTTACCTTATGTATTTTAATGTGCTTCTGTTTTAAGGTCACGTATTGTATCTCTTTAAGACTAACCTTGATTTTAGTCAGAGACTATAAAATTACCATAGAAATGAATCTCACTGTTACCACTTCCTTTCCTCTATCCAAAATATGATTAAAGTTTATATGGTCATTCATAATATGGAGCACTTTTAATGGA